TTCTTCTTCTTCTTCTTCTTCTTCTTCTTCTTCTTCTTCTTCTTCTTCTTCTTCCTCCTCCTCCTCCTCCTCCTCCTCTTCTTCCTCCTCCTGCTCCTCCTCCTCCTCCTCTTCCTTCTTCTGGAGCTGAGAACAGAACCCAGGGCCCTGTGCTTGCTAGACAAGCACTCTACCGCTGAGCTGAATCCCCCAACCCCTCTCCTTGTTTCTTCATGGGGAGAATCAGATCAAGGCTCTTAAAGGGCTAGGGTGGTATTAGAGGAAGAAGACCCAGTGTCCCCCCAAAATCAGAGCAGTTCACATGAATTTACTGGACAGTTGAGTGGGGGAGAGAAGGGCATTTCTGATGATTCTCCCTAAAGGAGGTGACACCCCTGAGCTTGGTGACCAGGTACCCCCATCCTTACCTGGCCATACTGATTATATAGGTACTGGATCTCTTGTGGAGTGTACTGTGGCCACTTTGAACTCTACCTGGGTCTCTGTCTGAGGGCCAGCGTTATGTCCCAGCAGACATCTTTTAGTACAAGTCAGGGCTACATCTATTGCCTGGGGTCTCACAGGACATGGAACACAGCAAGACCTGAGGGCTTTGCCACCTACCTCCCTGGACCTCAGCTTGCTCACCTGTGATTCTTTCAGGGCCTGGAGAGAATTGGAAAGAGGGGGAGTTGTATTCCCGGAGTTGAGGTCTCTTGACTCTTTGGGTGCAGGTGCAGAGAGAGGGGAGGGTGCTGGGATCTGAGTGTAGGTAGTGTGTTCTGTCCTGTTGTAGTGAGAGGCCTTTGGAGCTAAGGATGGGTCAAGATGGCCAGGAGCATCTCTTCTGGCCTTTGGGGCTGATGGGGGCAGAGGCAGAGCCGCCTCCCGGGGATCTGATACAAGCTCTGTCCACCCGGACTAGCATCCTGTATGCAGACATCGTGGGCTTCACGCGGCTGGCCAGTGACTGCTCCCCCAAGGAGCTGGTGGTGGTGCTTAATGAGCTGTTTGGGAAATTCGACCAGATTGCCAAGGTGAGCCTGGGCATGCTGTCAGCCTGCCGCTGCGGTCACAGGACATTACGTGCTGCATGAGCTGGGAGTGGATGGGAGGCTGGGGCTGAGGGCTAGTGTCTGGGTAGGAGTGGGGTGCCAGGGTACCTCCGCCTCAGCAGATGTAGAACAAGGCTGAGTGCGTGCCCAGAGTGTTTATGGGTCCAGAGCAGATGGCGGCTTAGACTTGCAATCTGCAAATGGCTTTTAGTCTAGCAGCCTTGCCTTACCTTGCGGGGGTCTGGGAACAGCCAGAATATCCAGCCTCACTCAGAGACTCGGCTTGACAGAGTCCCAGGTGAAGTGTGCATATAAGAAAGCTTGAAGCCAGCAGTGGTGGTACACACCTTTAATTCCAACAGAGGCAGGCGGATCTCTGTGAGTTTGAGGCCAGCCTGGTCTACAGAGCGAGTGCCTGGACAGCTAGGGCTATTACACAGAGAAACCCTGCCTTGAAAAACAAGACAAAATGAAACCTTGAGAAGCCTTCCAAAGGAACCCTTGGCCTAGTATGATGGCGCATGCCTTTAATCCCAACATTTGGGAGGCAGAGCTGGCTGATCTCTGTGAGTTTGAGGCCAGTGGCGGGGAGGGAGCCGACAAAGACACTGACTCAGACCTAGGGAGGGAAGGGAAGCCTGTGGGGCAGGGGAACAAGGCCTGGAGCAGACACAAAACCCTGTCTCCAGGTCGTGAAGGCAGCTCAGTGTGTGTCGAGCAGAGTACCAGGGAGATAGACAAGGATGTAGTGGCCTAGGCAGAGTGGGATTTGTTCTTCTGGCACTGAGAAGCCTGGCGTACCAAACAGGGATGGGTTTTCTTTCTTTTTAAAAAAATAATTTATTTTTATTTTATGTGCCTTGGTGTTTTGCCTATATGTGTATCTGTGTGAGGGTGGGACCCCCTGGAATTGGAACTACAGACAGCTGTGAGCTGCCGTGTGGGTGCTGGGAATTGAACCCAGGTCCTCAGAGCAGTCAGTGCTTTTAACCACTGTACCATCTCTCCAGTCCCCCAAATGCTCTTCTTCTAGGGCTGTGATGGCTCTGTTCTCCTGGGCCCTTCCTCCTTCTCCTAGGTAGATCTCCCAGTCGCATTGATTTAGTCCCAGCCTTCTGCTTGCATGATCATTCTGCAGCTGCAAGGTTTGTATCTGCAGCCTACTGTTGTGTCCTAGTACCTGGCCAGGTATACAGTAGGTGCTCAAACATTACATAGGCAAATAAGAAAGACAGTCCCTCCTGCATGGTCCCTACTAAGCCTTGCTTTTATCTGGGTTCCCGGCTGGGTCTCTCCAGGTCCTCTTGCCAGACTCTGCAGCAGCCCTGAAGGCCGTTCATGGCAGGGAGGAGTCCAGCTGGCCCAGGCCTGCCCTGAGCATGCCCCTTGCTTGCTTACCCTGCAGGCCAACGAGTGCATGCGGATCAAGATCCTGGGTGACTGCTACTACTGCGTGTCGGGCCTGCCTGTGTCGCTGCCCACCCATGCCCGCAACTGCGTGAAGATGGGTCTGGACATATGTGAGGCCATTAAGTAGGTGCAGGTGGGCCAGGGCCCAGGAGCATGTCCCCCTGCCAAACTCCAAACCGAGGCGGGTGGGGTGTGAGGCTTGCCTGGATTCTCTTGGCCTCCCTTGAAACTGTGGCTTCAAGTTCCAGAAGCATCTAAAAAGCTGAGTTAGGCCAGGCATGGTGGTACACACCTTTAATCCCAGCACCGAGGAGGCTGAGGCAGGTGGATCTCTGTGAGTCTGAGGCCAGTCTGGTCTACATAGCAAGTTCCAAGACTACCTAGAGAGACCTTGTCTCAAAAAACAAAACAAACCAAAATGAATAAAAAGCTGAGCTTGGGCAGCTGGGTTCCACCCTTCCAAGGACTGAGACTGTAGGAGGAGCTCAGGACAGAAAGCAGGAAGGCCTTCCAGAGGCGAGGTCCGCTCTCAGACGCCATCAGCTTTCGGATCCTCTGGGAAGCCTCTGGTGCCAGAGGGCTTACTCTCCATCAGCAGGTAGGCCTGGATCTTCTGGGTCCTTCTGCTGGCACTGGTCTGTTGGTGAGACACTCAGGGGTGTGCAGGAAGATTCATGAAGTGGTAGAGGTGGCCTGTCTAGGCAGCAGAGGAGGTACTCTCTCCTCTTTGATACCACTTTGCCATACCTCCAGAACTTTCCCCAAATGGTAGGAATAGTCCACAGTGCAGACACCCAAGATGCCTGCCATGGGACACAGCAGGACTCCCAGAATGCCTGCCATGGGACCTAGCGCGTTCCCATTCTGCATTGTGGAGAGGCGGCTTTTGCTCCTGCTGGCTTAGCCTTGGTAGCTCCAGCCCATCTACAGCTCTAGTGGTGGACACAGGTGCTGGTGGCCCCTGGGCTCCTAACCACCAGCTTACCTGAGGGGCATAGGGCTCTGCTCATGCTTGGGAAATAGGGGTGGTGCCACGTCCTGGAAGGCTCCACCCTGGGGGCTTCTTGTGCTGAATAGGGCTCTCATTTCCTGCAGGTGGAGTAGAGGAGCCCCCATAGTCCTTGTCTATACTGGGTGCTGGGTAGGGCTTAGCATCCTTTACACCCTGGCAGCCTTATCAGAACCAACCAGGGCTACCCGGCAGGGGGTACCTGGAACAGAAGATGGTACATCAGCATAAATGGCTTCCTAAGTCCCTTTCTTTTCCTACACACTCATGAGCCGGGTGTGAGCTTACACACTCCCAAGGATGGAGTTCTTGTCCTCTCCGAAGAGGAACCTCTGCCCCCCTCCTTGGCGCGCTGCCATACCCAAGACCTCCAGCGTGTTCCTGTACTGCTGTAGGTGACACCCTGCTCTGCTCCAGGCAGGTGCGTGAGGCCACAGGAGTGGACATCAGCATGCGGGTGGGAATCCACTCCGGCAATGTGCTATGTGGGGTCATCGGGCTCCGCAAGTGGCAGTATGATGTGTGGTCCCATGACGTGTCCCTGGCCAACAGGATGGAGGCGGCTGGAGTCCCCGGGTGAGTTTCAGCAGGGCAGGCTGATCAGGGCGGGGCCAGGTGTGGAGACAGGGGACGGTGCCTGCCCCCTCTGCTGTGCACCCCTAAGTGGGTGCCTGGGCCATGCTGCTTTATCTGACTTTGCGTCTCCCCAGCCGGGTGCACATCACAGAGGCCACACTGAACCACCTGGACAAGGCGTACGAGGTGGAGGATGGGAACGGGCAGCAGCGAGACCCCTATCTGAAAGAGATGAACATCCGGACCTACCTGGTGATAGACCCTCGGGTACAACAGCTTGGGGGTGGATGGGGGACTGGGCAGCCTGGGAACAAGGTCCCAACTACTAGCAACTGACCCTCAAGGTTGTGGTGAGGTGGCAGAGACTATCTCAAAGTAGGAGAGCACTTCCTTGAACCGGGCACATTCTAGGACACCAAGGAACAACCTGTTTGTGTTTCTGTAAGGAGGGGAGCAAGGACTGTGGGCACAGAGCGCTGTGTTAGTGCAGGCCCACGAAGCTAATTGGAGGAAGGCCTCTTCACCCCTGCGGAGACTCAGGGAAGCAGGGAATGGCCCGGCAGCTTGCTCCTGGAGCTTGTCAGACTGGGACTCTCAGGTGGCTCAAGATGCCTCCTCTCCTGGAGCCCGACTTGCCCTGGTGGCCCAACTGGAGAGGCTGCTGAGTTTGTCAGCTGACTGCTCCAAACTGGCAGTCTGTTGCCCTTTGTTGTCTGTGGATTAACCTCCTGAATCATCCGTGGTGTTTGCTCCAGAATGGTGGTGGCAGGAGCTTCTTCCTGCTCTTGGTTCTCGCCCTTGGCTATGCCTGGGGGCAGCCTGAAAACCCACTTAATTTCCGTTGCCTGTCTTGGCTACTCTTTGTCCACGGGGCAGCCCCCCACATACGGGAAAATGCCTGCTCCTGGCCTTACTGTCGCCATGTGGTCTTGTTTATTTATCCTTTTCCTTGTTTATTGTCGTTCATGCTGTCCAAGACCACTGACCCTCCAGCCCGCAGATGGCCCAGCTCTGCTCTGAGCAGGCACTTAGTGGCTTTGAAGTGGATGAAGCCCCAGCCTCAAAGACATCTGCAGGCCTGGTTCCAAAACCCACCCCGAGGGCTGCCAGCCTGAGCCGGCACAATTGCAGGATGCTGGCCAGACTCCGGCCAGGCTCCAGAGAAGCAGCAGCGTGTGTGTGTGTGTGTGCATGTGCATGTGTGTGTGTGCCACTGGCAGTGTGGGACTGTCGCTCTGCCTGATCCGTCTCTCCAGCACGTTCATCCGTTTATTCACATGGCTGGCAGTTGAGAGGGGCCAGTAGGAATTCCTCTTCGTTCTTGTCTCCAGCCAGCACATGACCAGGGCAGCCAGCAGGAGAGGAGCCTCAGAGGGTTTCAAGAGGTTTCTATGCCCAGAGACTCTGGAAGTTTCCAGTAAATTTGTCACTGTGCTTTGGCCAGGTCGGGCTGTAGGAAGGCTGCAGCCTGTTGGTGTCGGCAAGTCTGAGGAGAAGGGCTCTGGAGGGAGTGTCTGAGATGTGAGGGGCGAGGGAGGGAAGAGCCTCAGCAGACACAAGGTAGCCTGTGCTTGTCTGATGGTCTTGGGGCTTTCTTTTCCTGTCTTGCTTCCAGCCATACCTGGCCACTCTGACTGGCGAAAGCCCAGGCATGTGTTAAGGGGGCCTTTGGGCTCAGTGGCACTGGGACAGGAGGCAGAGCTGGACCCTCCCTCAGGGCCTGGCTAAACCACTGAGGCCCCAGGATGGTGCTGGGCCCAGCAAGTGTGTGGCAGATGGGCCTGGTGCTGAGCTCGCGACTGGATGTGGAGTGGGCTGGCGCTTTTAGTAGCTGTGTCTCTGGGTTCAGGCCAGCACACATCTTCCTCTCGTTGCTCTCACCGGAAGGAGCATGTGTGAACCACATATGGGTGGGCGGGTCAGGGCTCCCACTTACTCTTCCTCGAGGGTGGCTGAGCGTGAGCTGTGTGGCCATCAGCCTCTTCCTGACTTGGGGCTTCAGCTGGTCCCCAGGGCACCCCATGCTTCAAGAAGAGGCTCAGAAACTTAATACTTTCCCCTTTAGCAGACCAGCCAGTGCTCCAGGCATGCTCACGAGAGGGGAAACAGGCAGGACAGGTCATGTCTGTGTGTTTGCAGAGCCAGCAGCCACCCCCACCCAGCCATCACCTCCCCAAGCCCAAGGGGGATGCAACCCTGAAGATGCGGGCTTCAGTGCGTGTGACCCGCTATCTCGAGTCCTGGGGTGCAGCGCGACCTTTTGCACACCTCAACCACCGGGAGAGTGTGAGCAGCAGCGAGACCCCCATTTCCAATGGACGGAGGTCAAAGGTAGGTCCCCTCCCATCTGGTTGCTGGGTCAGGAGCCCACTGAGAAGGGACAGGGAGCAAAAGGCTCTGTCCCACCCTTCTCTAGCTGCATTGTGGGTAGTCTCTGCCAAACCTCCCTTCTGGACAGGAGGAAGTATTTAAAGAGGGCTCCAGTAGGGCCTAGAATATCCTAGAATCTCCTGATCCTTTTCCAGTCTGAGGAAAGAAAGCCAGACCCATGGGGGAAGAGAGTCAGTGTTCAGGGAGTGTTCACCTTCTCCTCGCCCCTTTCAGGCCACTTCACTGCGCCGACACCGTGCCCTTGCCAGGTAGGTGCACTGCCCTCCTGCACACTGCTTACTGCCAGTGCTGTGCCAGGCTTCTCCTGCAGGCAGGTGCCCCGACCGGTCTCTATCTGGGGCAGCTCCTCCCAGCCTCTGTGGGTTTGCCAGGATTTGTCTTCTCTGGGCACAGGACCCCCCAGGTCCCAGGCTCTTTGAGACTGGGGTAGAATGCCTGCTGTGTGCTCCCCTAGGGCAGGGGCAGCGGGTTGCTGTGTGTTCTCTGGCTTCTGTGCTGATCTTAGCCCTAGCCGAGGTGGCCGTGGTCTAGGGGTTAGGGATGTGTCCTCTGCTTCTTGCTGGGGCTGCTGGCCTTTCCCTTAACCCCTTTTATGAACTCAGGGACCCCACCAGATACCAGTAATCCTACTGGCAAATCCAACATCCATAGCCTAGCCTCTGGCCAGGTGGGCCCCTGGAGTGACGTAGCTGGGGCTCTAATTCTAGGAGTGCCTCCCCCAAGGGGCGCTTGGATGACGACTGTGATGACGAGATGCTCTCGGCCATCGAGGGGCTCAGCTCCACCAGGTGAGGCCTGTGATCTCTACCCACCCACCTCTTCCCTCCCACGCAGGGCTGGTCCCTCTGCTAGACATAGCCCTGGCTATAGCCTGTAGCTTCTTCCCTTGCCCTGGGGCTGTTGCCAAGAGTGTGGCCCTGTCCTGCTCTGTGGACACTGAGCTGCTGTTCCCCCAGGCCCTGTTGTTCCAAGTCTGATGACTTCCACACCTTTGGTCCCATCTTCCTGGAGAAGGGCTTCGAGCGGGAGGTGAGATTCGGGCAGTTACCACAGAACCTGGTGGGTGGGGTGTGAGCTGCTGGGTCCAGCAAATCGCACAGGGTGGGGAGACCCATGGGGCGCTCTGAACTGCCTGCTGGGAGGTGGGGTTCTGTGCAGTCTCATTTGTGGCTATTCCTGTAGGCCTCCCCCCTTTATCTGACACCACCCTAGAGATTTGTCCCCGAGGTTTGGGGCAAGTGAGCACTTAAGATTTTCAGGAGGATGCTGTCCCAAATCCAGTCTCCTAGTTGCATACCTGTGGGACCTCCTGCCTGATTGCCGTGACACACTTTATGCCCTCATGACTCTATTGGTCTAGAGCAACTCATGGCTCCCTGCAGGTCTTGGGTCCATATGAGGATCGACTCCATCTTTCCCCCAAGCAGCCAGGCAGGTACCAGATCCAGTTTAGACAGGAGCCTGCAGCTCACAGGTGTTGAAGCTGGTTGTCCTTAGCTTTAGGATGTGGCTATCCAAGGAGGGTCCTGACCTCCATGGCCTGATGCCCAATAATGAGGGGAGGAATCTTCTCCCTGGGGATCTCTGAGTAAAGTTACTGGGAAGAAAGCGGAGGGGGCTTCCCTTGGCTGTGGGTCACACGGCCCTAGTCTTGGTTGCTCCTCTACCATGATGTGGTCACAGAGTAGACACAGGGATCTCTACCTGTTTGTCCAGGGGCTCGGACCCAGATAATACTCTTTTGTGAGGGGTGAGGTCAGGCCTACTGGCCCGAGAAATGAAAACAAAAGCCTTGCAGGGTGGTAAGTATTGCCCATGCAGAGAGGAACCATAGAGTGTTGGCAGGCGAATGGCTGTGTGGAGTAGCACTACCTCGAGCTCCCGGGGTGGCGCCACACATTTTAGTTTAGGTTATGAACTTGGAATGGCCATTTAAGGGGACTTTGCTGATAGCCATCTCTCACGGTTCATGCCACCTCTCCCCCACCCAGTACCGCCTGGTGCCCATCCCCCGTGCTCGCTATGACTTCGCCTGTGCCAGCCTTGTCTTTGTCTGCATCCTGCTTGTCCATCTTCTCGTGATGCCCAGGTCAGTCTGTGGTGGGGAGGATGAGCAAGCCCACTGGGGTCCAGCCAGAGGGCTGGTGACCTTGGCAAGACCCAGCAGAAACTGACAGGGTGCTTCGTGGCTAACTGGAAGGGACCAGCTGAAGCTCTGGGTCCTCCCTGACTGGAGCAGGGGTTCTAGCCCAGAGCTGGAGTTACTGACCCCTCCTTGTGACTGGGAGTGAAACTGACCCAGACTCCCATCTGCTGCTAAGTCCTGTTATCTGTGTGGTCTAGCCTCTGGAGACAGTGGGCCCTGTCATTCCTCCTCTTCACGGGGGTAGGTGAGATTTACAGAGATTGTGGCATCCAGCCTGAACCCAAGAACCCTGAAATTCCTACGTCATGTTCTGGGGTCCTGCTGGTGCGGACAGGGACGAGGGGCCAGGAGCGCCAAAGCTTAGCCACAGATAGCTTCCAGAAGGCAGTTAGAGGAAAGCATGACTGGCATTGTGATTTTGGATGTGTTTGACAGACTCACAGGGCTAGTGAGATGACTCAGCGGGTAAAGGCACCTGCCACCAAGCCCGACAGCTCGAGTTTGATCCCCGCCGTCCATGTGGTTAAAAGAACTGACTCCAGACTTAGTCTCTAACCTCCACATGCATGTTATGACGTGTAGGCGTCTGTCTATATTCACACACACACACACACACACACACACACACACACACACACACAAAGGCTAAATAGCAACCAGGTATAGTGACCTAGGCCTGTGGTTCCACAGCACTTAGTGGCAGAGACATGAGGATCGCTACAAGTTTGAGAACAGACTGGTCTATATAGTAAGTTTCAGGTCAGCCAGAGCTGTAAAACCCTGTATCAAAACCAAACTAAAGCCAGAAAGTGGTGGTGCATGCCTTTAATCACAGAACTCCAGAGGCAGAAACAGGCAGATCTCTGTGAGTTCAAGGCTAGCCTGGTCTACGGAGTGAGTTCCAGGACAGCCAGGGCTACACAGAGAAACCCTGTCTCAAAAAAACCAAATAAAATTTTTTTAAAATTGTATTTTTGTGAGTTTTGCCTATGTATATGCATTTATACCACATGTGCTTGGTGCCCGAGGCTGTGAGAGGAAGGTGTCTGAGCCCCTGGACTGGAGCTATAGGTGGCGGGGAACCACCAAGTGGGTGCTGGGAATTGAACCTGTATCCTTTTGCAAGAGCAACAATTGCTCCTAACCCCTGAGCCATCTCTCTAGCCCCCATACAGATGCTTTCATGTTTTCATGGCAGACACGGTTCCAGAGGCTCACCATGTGCTCAGGGGACCTGATGACAACCTTGATCTTTATGATTATTGTTTGTGGGACATTTGTAGTCATCCTTCAAGGTCTCCTTTGCTGGCTGCAGGAGGGACAGGTTGACTATGAACTGGAGAACGGACTGGTGGAGGTTACCTGGACTCACGTTTTCCCTCCTTTCCAGGATGGCCACTCTGGGCGTGTCCTTTGGACTTGTGGCCTGCCTGCTGGGGCTGGTGCTAAGTCTCTGCTTCGCTACTGAGTTCTCGGTGAGTGGATCCCTGAATCGAGTTCGCTCCTTCTCATCCCTGTGGCCTCTCCCTCACCAGTAGTTGGGCAATGGTTGGGTATCCATCTTACCTCCAGGAGAACTGAGTCCCTGCAGACTGCTCCCAAGTCCTTAGCCTCCCAGGCTGGTTAGTACCATCCATCCTCCTGAGTAGGGCTGTCCTTCGTCCCAGCTGCTGTTTGCATGACTTGTCCCTCTCCACAGAGGTGCTTTCCAGCCCGAGGTACACTCCAGGCCATCTCAGAGAGTGTGGAGACGCAGCCCCTGCTCAGGCTGTCCCTGGTTGTACTGACTGTTGGCAGCCTACTGACTGTTGCTATCATCAATATGGTAAGTTATGGGGTCAGGACAGGGGAAAGTGTAGGTGGAGGCTGCTCATTCATTTCCTGATTGCTCAGACCTGAATAATACAAAGAAACTATATTAATTACAGCACTGCTTGGCCAATAGCTTAGGCATACTCCTAGCTAGCTAAATTAAACCATTTCTATTCTGTGTATTGCCATGAGGCTGTGGCTTACCAGGTAAGGTTCCAGAGTCTGTCTCCTTTGGCAGCTACGTGCTATCTCCCTGACTCCACCTTCTTTTCTCCTCTGTCTCTGCTTGGAATTCCTGCCTTGCTCTATTCTGCTCTGCCATAGGCCCAAAGTAGCTTCTTTATTAACCAATGGTAATAAAACATATTCACAGCATACAGAGGGTAATCCCACATCAGGAAAGGAACCATCTTAGACCTGGGGAACCCAGATTCTAGAATCCCACTCTTGTTGCCTGAACAGTTCTATCTGGTGTGACCCCTCCATAGCTCTGCAGTGCTCTGTGGGGTCCCCAGTGCAGGCTTAGGGCTCTTCACCCCTTCAAGGGAGGACTTGAGGCACCCAGAAACACTACAGATATGTGCTGACTGCCGACTCTTCCTTCCCACACTCCTTTTTACTCTTTCCTCAGTAAGGGATAAGACTTGCCCTCTGGTCCAAGTCCCATGTGGGTAGTTTCCAAGCAGCCTGTAAGAACTCACAGCCCTGCCTTATGCTAGCTCTTTCCTTTAGAACAGCAGTCTCTTCCACACTGTTCCTACACTGGAGGCTCAGTTTTGGGAGTGCACTCTCATGCCTTTCTCTGAGTCCAGGAGAAGGGGGCTCTTGGGGGCCAATCCTAGCCTTTTCTCATGCTTCCCCTGGGCTACTGTTGTCAACACGTTCTGTTCTGTAGCTCTCCCCACCCCAGGTACTTCATACCTGGTGGGTGCTGTGGACACAGCCACTTGCTGGGCTCAGCTGAGAGCCTAGCACCCAGCATCAGGGCACCTTTGGTTCCTACAGTTGTCACCCGCCTTGGGCCTGGCAGCTCTTCATCCGTGGATCTACTCTAATGGCAACCTGTCTCCCCTCAGCCACTGATGCTTAACCCAGGCCCACAGCAGCCTGGAGGCAACGAGACAAGTCTGTTGGCTGCAAGAACTAGAGTTGGGACCCTGTGTGAGCTCCTCCCGGTGAGTATGCTCATCCTGACTCCCAGCACCACCCAGCCCCTGGCCAGTCCTCTTGTGCTGCTGGACCACTATGGCCAGAGTACAGCTCATGGTTTGAAGGTCTGAATCTTAAGGCCTTGGAGAGGAAGAAGAAATCTAGTGTCTCCCAGTGTAAGTGGAGAAGGCCAGGTCCAGGCAGCCAAGGCTGTTTCCTGCCTGCCCCAATGCCAGGGAAACACAACACTGGGTCATTGCTTCTTGCGCTAAGGCTCGGGGTGGGCAGGGACTGCAGGCCAGCATCAGTTGCACTAGAGGGTGTCTTTGGGTCACTCTCCCTGTGCAGTCAGATTCTCTGGTTAATTGAAGCCTTAAAGCCTTAAAGGAATAAAGGGCTGACCTAACTCCAGGACAGCTGACATAAACCTGGAGAGGCCCAAGTCAAGAGTAGGGGTCATGAGAAGTGGGAAGACTAGGGCTGACCTTCACACCAGTGCTATGCAGTGCCCTTGCTGATCTGCTGAAAAGGGAAGCAGTGGGCCAAAGATGGTACAGACGCCTGGCCATGGAGCTCCTCAGCAGGAGGGAGCTGGCAGCAGACTCTTCCAGGCATGCCTCCTGGTGACTGACACAGGATATTGTCCCCACCTGCAGTACTACACCTGCAGCTGCATCCTGGGCTTCATTTCGTGCTCCGTCTTCCTGCGGATAAGCCTGGAACTGAAGGCCATGCTGCTGACAGTGGCTTTGGTGGCTTACCTGCTGCTCTTCAACCTCTCCCCATGCTGGCACATCCCAGGCAACAGCACCGAAACCAACAGTACACATAGGTGGGTCCCTACTTGCTGGTGTCTCTGTAGGCCACTACTGTAAGTTGGTTTGTTTCAACCTAGTGCTTGGCCAGAGCATTGTGCATTTGTCCATGGTACCAATGAACCATACTGTGGACAAATGGATTTCTGCTTTCCAGAGGCACATGAATGATCCAGGCTCCAGGTCTCCAGCAGCGAGCTGGGTGTATGGCTTACTAATAGGCTCTTGGGGAGGTCCTGGCAATCAGGCTTCTCTTTCTGGGCCTGTCACGGTGTGAGATGGGAGCCATGAGCCAGTTAAGTCTGACCTGTGGCCAGATCACCAATGTCAGTACAGATAGATGCCTGGTGTCTTCTGGGTAGTGCACACTCCTGTGGGTTGAAGAGGGCCCTGCAACCTTCAAGGTTTTGGCCTTAGATTGAGGGCCTAGAAAAACATTGCCTTACTCTGGCCAGGTCCTTATGCCAATCTACAGCCGCCGTCGCGGCTCCTCACTCAGCAAGCAGATGGGCCTTTTAGAGTGACCCAGAAGTCCCTTCACCCAGGCTGCCACCTCAGCCCCCCTGCAACTGTTTACTTCCTACCCCTTTAGGACACCTCCACTCCTGCTGGCTGCACAGGGCATGCAGAACTACACCCTTGCTCCGGGGGCTCAGGTGACTGTCCCCTTCCCCAGCAGATGCTTAGAGAAAGACTTGAAGATCATGATCAACTTCTACCTGGTCCTGTTCTATGCCACCCTCATCTTGCTGTCTAGACAGGTGTGTAGACTCCTTGTCCAGCTTCTGCTGAGCAGACGGTGGGTGCAGAGAGCAGGGTCTGAGATACCAACACAGCAGAGGCCTGGTCTTGTTCTGCACAGGGCTGAGCAGGGTGGGCAGCACTGTACGTAGGCTGGTCCAGTACCCTAGATCCCAGCCCTGGGTGGTGTGTCAGGTGTGACAGGTATGGCACTGGCTCCCTGGTTTGCAGATTGACTATTACTGCCGCTTGGACTGTCTGTGGAAGAAGAAGTTCAAGAAGGAACATGAGGAGTTTGAAACAATGGAGAATGTGAACCGCCTCCTTCTAGAAAATGTGCTGCCAGCGCATGTGGCTGCCCACTTCATTGGAGACAAGGCAGCTGAGGTGTGTGAAGGTGGGGTGCTCTAGGAGTCTGTGGGCAGAGCCACCCAGTGAAAGCCTGGGCTACTCAGCAGTACCCCTGGGGTATGCTTAGATGCAAAGGCAGACTTGCAGTCAAGTCAGAGAGATATGTCCATCAGGGGCTGTGGGTAAGATGCCTCCCTGGCCTTGACTTCCACCCTGGGAAACAGATCGTGAGGTTCAAACATACTGAGTCGTCTGTCATCTGGATGTTCTGTATTGCTAAGAATCCTGTACTTCCATGAGGTGCATGTGGCAGAGCCTTTCTGATCCAGGAAACAGGTCCAGTGACAGCTCAGTATAATAACACCACCTTAGCTGCATTCAAGCTGTCACTGCTCACACAGCCAACCAGCCTGGCCTGGCACTCCCCACCAGCACCTGAGCCCCTGGGTTAGTGGTCTTAGGGTGCTGTTTCTCTCCTGCCCCGCTGCAGGACTGGTACCATCAGTCTTATGACTGTGTCTGTGTCATGTTTGCATCCGTTCCGGACTTCAAAGTGTTCTACACTGAGTGTGATGTCAACAAAGAAGGGTTGGAGTGCCTGCGCCTGTTGAACGAGATCATTGCTGATTTTGACGAGGTACAACCTGGCCAGTATGCATGGGGTGTACAGCCTGTCACCTGTGTAGTGGCAAGGCAAGGTGGAGATGTAAGCTTAACTATGTGAGAGGCTCTGGCTCGATCCTTAGTCCTGTAAGAGAAAACAGTAGTCAAACAAAACACGAGATCGACGGGCTGGAAACTATATACATTAAATACCAAGAGACACATTTTCTTTAATCAAGTAAGGAAACTTTTATTAAATCTCTACTGGACAGGTGCCAACAGGTTAGGTCCTTCCAGAGCAACTCTGACTCAGGCTGAGCCATGCTGTCAACCATTTCAGGAAGTCAGTTTGGGCTGGTTTGTGGAAGACACCGACCCGCCTTTAAGAAAATTATGCTGGGTAGTTGCTCCTAGAAGGATCAGAGTGCAGAGAAGGGAAGGGATGAGATGATGGGAGCTGTGTCCTCACCTGTGGTCACGAGCACAGATGGACAACGACATACATGAGATGTGTTTGCACTGCACATCAGGGGAAGGTGGGCCCTAGCTTCCTTTTCTCAGCACCAAGGCTATAGTGGCTTCTTTTTGTTTTGTAGCTGCTGCTGAAGCCCAAGTTCAGTGCTGTGGAGAAGATCAAGACCATTGGCAGCACCTACATGGCTGCAGCAGGGCTCAGTGTCCCCTCAGGACAAGAGAACCAGGTACTCCAGGCCTGTGTAAGTGTAAATACTACAGGCTGTCCCTAGTCCTAGCACCTTACTAAAGGGTGTGTCGGGGTAGAGGCATTTTCTGGCACAGCCTGAAGATCCCTGGTGGGAACAGGAATCCTATCCCCACGGGATGTGCATGCCTTCAGTTAAGACTGCAGAGTAGATATTCCGTCCATGTCCTGCAGGACCTAGAGCGGAAGCATGTGCACATCGGTGTCTTGGTGGAATTCAGCATGGCCCTGATGAGCAAGCTGGACGGAATCAACAGGCACTCCTTCAACTCCTTCCGCCTTCGAGTTGGTGAGGCTTACAAACGGGCAGCTTAGCTTTGTGCATACCCTCTTGATTGGAGGGTGTCATGGGCCCTCTGCTATGAGGTTTCAGCAGACCCTTTGGTGTTATCATTAACATTGACCTCCCTTGCATATGCTCATGAAGAATGTGTATTTGTGTGTGGGTACATGTATGTATGGAGGCCAGAGGTCAACCTCAGCAGCTGACTATTCTATTTCTTGACTGTCTCCCTGGGATTTGCTAATGAGGTGAGGTTGGCTGGCCAGTCAGTGACTCCAAGAGATCTGCCTGTGTCCACATCCCCAACACTAGGATTACAGGTGTCATCACACTCTACATGGGGTGCTGGGGATTCAACTCATGTCCCCAATGTTTGTGTGACAAACTGAGCTACCTCTTCGACCTCTTTTTATTAGTAAATTTAAAGTTACATTTATTTAGTGTGTGACATACCACAGTGCACATGTGGAGATCAGAGGTAACTTATAAGAGCTGGTTCTCTTTCCACCGTGTGGGTTCGAGGAATTCAACTCAGATCACCAGACTTGGTGGCATCTTTACCTGATAAGCCACCTTGGCAGCCACCAACCCCCCTAACTTTGAAAAATTTAATAATATGTAACTATAAATTCAGGGCCTCTGGGCAGTGGTGGTGCATACACTGAATCCCACAACTTGGGAGGCAGAGGCGGGCGGATCTCTGTGAGTTTGAGGTCAGCCTGGTCTATAAGAGCTAGTTCCAGGACAGGCTTCAAAGCTACAGAGAAACCCTGTCTTGAAAATCAAAACAAAACAAAAAACAAAACAACAACAAAAAAGTAGGGCCAATATCATGGCTGCAAATAAATGACCTTAAAATACAGAAAACAGATTTATTAAGCCTAACCAACCATAATCAGTTTTACAGGTAGGCACTTAAAACCCATTTATTTGCTGGGCAATGGTGGTGCATGCCTTTAACCCCAGCACTTGGGAGTCAGAGGCTCTGTGAGTTCAAGGCCAGCCTGGTCTACAAAGTGAGCTAGTTTCAGGACAGCCAGGGCTACACTGTTTAAAAAGAGAAATTAGCAGATACCAGAGAAGAGCTAATGAGTTCAGGAGTATGGACAAGAGATAGTTGGGGCCTTTCACACTGTAGGGGCACAACCTACAGAGAACAGTTCCAAGGGAACTTGCACCCCATTGCCCTATTAGCCTTTCTGTGGGCCCCCTCAGTGTTATTATAAATGGCTAACTGTAAACCATCTTAAGGTATAAACCACGGGCCTGTGATTGCTGGAGTGATTGGAGCACGCAAGCCTCAGTATGACATCTGGGGAAACACAGTCAATGTTGCCAGCCGAATGGAGAGCACTGGAGAGCTTGGGAAAATTCAGGTAAGAGTCCACTGAGAAGCGTCCACCTGGGGAAAAGACATGTCCTGAGGAGGTGTCCTGCTCTCACTCGGCTGTGTGGCCCTGGCCATCACTGTTAGGAACAGACAGCAGACAGACACTGCTCTTTTCCATTCCAGGTTACAGAAGAGACATGCATCATCCTCCAGGGACTAGGATATTCCTGTGAGTGCCGAGGGCTGATCAACGTCAAAGGCAAAGGAGAGCTGCGGACTTACTTTGTGTGTACAGACACTGCCAAGTTTCAAGGCCTGGGGCTGAACTGAGGTGTCTGGTAGTCTGTTTCCTTCCCCGAGGAAGCCAAGAATGCAGCCCCATGCCAGCTACAGATGGCTGTGTGGCTTCTTTGGACTTGCACTACAGGATGGATGGCTCTGACACATGCATCAGATTCTGTTTGAAGCAGCTACGTTGTCCAGAACCTCTGTGCTTCAGTCTGTGCAATTCCTAGTTAGCTAGATCACTGGTCTACTGTGGGCTGTACTTGTTCCCAGGATGTTGGGGAAGAGACCTTAATGCATGACCAAGACTGACACCCACCCTGGTAGCCAGTGAACAGCATATACCTGGTGAAAAACTCCTGGTTCCAGGAGGCTCAGCCAGGCTGTCTAGCATAGGTTCCCATTAGTACCCACCACGGGATGCTAATCTCTCATGCAGGCATTCTGGCAAATGGAGTTGAAAACAGTGGGTATATTGACAGGTAGTCTCAAACAGTAGAGACAAATTTCCAACTAACATGTCACTTTTTACCACCTCATTTCTATGCTTGAAATGGACATGTCATTAATGGAAGTTCTATCTTTCCTACCAACTCTTAGATGCTAGACAACAAATTCCTTTCTAGTATATTTTCTCTTTTTAACCACTGACTACATGTAAACAGGACTGTTGTTCAGTGTCAGTTCATAGGATTATCTTGGCTGTAGGGTGGAGTTCTGAGAGATGGGGCTCACACAAGGAGCAGCAAAACCTTGGATCTGCATCCAGCATTTTTGGAATAAGTCTTTTGGGACAAGGTTCAGGAAGCTGAAAGTCTAGAAATGAGGTGTAATGTTTCAATTCGTCTGTCTGCACTTTATTTATTTTTTTAGAGACAGAGTCAGCCAAGGCTGGCCTCAAACTTTCAACTCTCCTGCCTCAGTTTCCTGAGTGCTTCAAATAGATGTGCACTACCATGGCCAGCTTTTTTTTCTGTGGGAAAGCCTGTGTAGAGAGGGCTTAGACAACCTGTGTACCTCTTGCCCTTTCTCTAGTCTTCTGAGTTGACTGCAGAGCTGCAACTGTGATCTACCTGGCAGGAACATGTGCTGAGGTTCCTGGGCTGTGAAATGGAACACCTCAACAATTGCCAATTTGCTCTCACTCACATGAGTCAAGGCAAATTCAGCTTTGTGTGATGGCATCTTATTGTGCTTTAGCTCCAGACCACTCACACTGAGTGATGACCAAACATCCCACTCCTTCTTGGAAGTGACTTCACTGCCACAGAACTTCACTACATCATGGAACCTACTAAGCACAGAAAATTGCACACAGGAGTCTACAAATGATATAAGTGTTGTAGGCAGGGTCCCTGACCAGTCAGGTTTACCTGGGACTTCGGTTCAAGATGAGTAGTCAGGGATGCAGAGGAAGGGGACAGGACCTACCTACCGGAACTGTGTCCTGTGGAACTTTATTAGCCCAGGGAAGAGGGGCTGATTCTAGTCTGCACAAAGGAGCCTAGCAGTGGTCAGGGCTTCCCAGCAAGGCTCCCCTGAGGCACACAATGCAGTTCACAGGGAGCAGGAATGAGCCTCTCTGAAGTTGACACACTTCTACTCTTCCAACATCCAATAATTTCCCCCTTCAACAGAAATCCTAGCTTGAGTTTAAAAATAACTGGCTACCGTTCACACATCTTCAACTGAAGCACTGGGCCAGGAGTACTGTTAAGTTAGTACTGTTCAGGTCATAGGAGCGTAACTGACAAACACTTGGGAGTTATGCACATTTTTTTTTGAATTTCCAAGTAATTTCTTCACAAGTGTCTTATTTTATCTTAGGAACTTCTTTTTTTAAACCCTTCTGTGGTTCAAGGATTTATTTCAGGATCTCCACTAAAGTGGTCCTCACTAACTACAGAAAGTAATATCCTGTTCTGGCTTACTGAAGGACACTTCCCGACAAAAGATGATTATTACTGTGTACTTTATGGATAACAGGTCAATGCTTAGAGCAGATGCAGGCAAATAACTATGGTGTGTTCTGTATGTGTACTATTTATAGCTTTACTGTAACATCTGTCTCAGTGTTGTTTCATTTTCAGAAATCAGTGCCTGGCTCTTTTATATGTTCAGTCAATAACTAAAACCTGAATGTCCTCCAAAAACAAAACAAAAACCAAAAACCTCAATGTCCTAAGGTGTTTTGAATTAAGGTATTTCTGAGTCTTCAGGAGCTGACCGTTGGCAAGTAGATCTACTGGTGAATTATGGGTTATTGTCTAAATATATGTCTGAGGCAAGGTTTCATATAACTCAGACTGTCCTCAAACCTTCCACTCCTAATCTTTCTGTGTCTACTCCTAGAGTGCTAGGACTATAGACATGTGCCACTACAGCCAGTTCCTTTCTTTTTGTGTACATATGCATGTTCATGTGTGTGCAGGGCTATGTCTGTGGAGATCAGAAGACAACCCTTTTCCTTGAGACAGGGTTTTTCTTTTTTCTCATCTGCTAGCTTCATGCTAGCCGCCCTATGAATGTCCAGGGGTCCTTGATCTCTGGGTTCCATCTTCCTATAGGAGTGCAGATTATAGACACGCACACCACTTGGGTTCTGGGGATCCAAACTCAAGTGGTCAAGCTTGCACAAGCACTTTACTCACTGAGCCACCCTCCACTTGCAGCTCATTGTGGCCAATTTATGTGGTGCTAGAGGAGGCTCGGCACAATTCGTTTCACAAATGCTAGTCTTCGAGCACTCTACCAGCAGACTCACACCCGTCAGCCCTAACTCTATTGTAGAGACTAAAATCAAAATCTAAAAGACTTGATCAACACTTAAGTTGATTTTTTAAAATTCTATTAGCATAATAATCTACATGAGAGTAACACTATAATTTCTTTTTCTTTCTTTCTTTCTTTCCTTCCTTCTTTTTTTTTTTTTGAGATAGTTTCTCTGTGTAGCTCTGGCTGCATGAAACTCACTTTGTAGACCAGGCTGGCCTTGAACTCACAGAGATCCATCTGCTTCTGCCTCCTGAGTACTGGTATTAAAGGCATGTGTATCACCATTCTTGGTTCCCATAATTTCTTGAGAGAATCAGCTTTCCTTTACTGTTCTTGTTCTGGCTTAATAATGATTTTAAATCAAGAAAAATGGGTATATCTTCTGGTCTATATTTTTGCAGACAGGCTCTGTAAAAGGGGTTATGTCTGTTTACTAGACTAGGTTACGTCCACACTGACATTCTATTTATTTTAAAATCAAATGTATGTATGTGTGCATGTGGGTATGTACATACAGTGCCAGTGCTTGCAGAGGCCAGAGGTATATGAGATTTTCTGAAGCTGAAGTTACAGGTGTTTCTGAGCTACCCAATGAGGATGCTGAGTACCCGACTCCAGTCCCCTGCAAGAGCAGTATGTGCTCTTAATTACCGAGTCATCTCTCCAGTGCCTCCATCTCCACCTTTTTTTTTTTTTTTGAGGCATGGTCTCAGTATGTATCCCAACCAGACTCAGATTCATGACAATCTTCTTTTCTCAGCCTGCAAAGTACTGGGATTGTAAATATGTGCTACGATGCACAGCTTGCCATTCAAACAGGTTATATCTTGAGGCAGATTTAGAAAAATCATTCATCTCAGCCCAGTGACGTGCGATAGAAAGGGACATATCTGATGGTTTCCTACTTAATCTGCTTGGTCACTTGATCTTTGTTATTTCAGATAAAGGGAAATGATTCAAGGGCACAGGTGGCCTTGGAGAAACTGAGCAGAAGTAAGCTCTCCTTTAAGTTCTAGACTCTAATGTATCTAAAGGTGATTTGGTTCATCTTATTTGTATGTCCTTTGCTATAGCTCCAATTAACTAAAAACAAAAAAAAAGAAAAAAATACACTAGACATATTTTATCTAACCACAAATGAGGACACCATTCCCACCAGGTACACAGAGGGCAGAACCATACCAGGAAACTTTAACATTATCTTGAGAATGTGCACTTTCATGGTATGATGCTAGAAAACCTCACTGGACAGAACTGCGTTTTGTGTTTACGAAGCTGGGTCCTGGGCCAGTGTGATGGTCCAGTGAGTAAAAAGGCGTTTTGTCTGGTGACCTAATTTAATCCCAGGTAACCACAGAAGCAGAAATACAACTCTGACCTTTACACATGCACCATGGCATGCGTGCATGTGCCCAATGTGTATGTATCACATATCCAATAGTAATAACAGCAATAATAAAGCTGGGTTTGCTCAGTTACATCAGACAACATTAGTGGCAGTCTGGCTACCAGGCTACCAGGCTGGCCTGCTCACAAGGTTTTTGGAATGTCACTCAGATGAACTCTGGTAAGACAGATTTTACCAGAGCTTGTAATTACCTGCTTGTAATTTTTAATGAGAGTGGAAAATGTGAAAAATGGGTAATTAATTTCTTTTGAGGACCCACTCCTTTGGAAGATGATCATGAAAAAGGCTAGTGTATGTTCTAGGCGTCTATCCTTAGGCCCATGTCAGACCAAGTCAAAGGGCAATTCAGCTGTCACGCTAGCAACCTCACAGTCCCAGGTTCAGTTTTATTTCCTAATACAAGTCCAGTCTCTGGAACACTGAAAGGAACTGTTCCAAAGCTTAATTAAAACACAATTTACAAATAGTTAATATCTTCTGAAAAGCACCTCCAAGTTCAGAATGAAAAAAATATGTACATAATATAACCAAATACCAGGCTAGCTTCAGCTCCCGTCAGGCCCACAGTCAGCAGCACAGGTCTCCTTAGGTTCTTCACACTCTGAAGGAGGAAGACAACACTCAGCATTTTGTCCCACTGGGTTATGAACAAGAAGCTAGTGTTCAGTAGAGGCACTGCTTACCAGCCCTCCATGTCACATTTACAGCTAGGGAGAAGCCTGGCATTAAGTCATTGCTGCAGCTTTTTGACAAAATGTATCAAATCTATTAATTCTTTAAACAAGATGGAAAGAAAACTGAAAGATGCCATGATAAAATCCATTACTTTGTATGCTAATCTCAAAAATTACATGAAACAAAATCAAACCAGACAAGGGTTCTTAAGTCATCTTAAATGAAAAAGGGGTGAATTTCCTTTTATTCTTAAAAATCTCCCACCCACAGAAACAGGGCACCTACCTTCTGTCAAATCTACGAAGCTGTTTCCCATGACAGGGGAAGGAACAGAAATTCCCATTGCTTTACGTACTCCACGTATGCTCACAACATCACCTGGGGTCACTTGCTGTGTGAGTTCTTTAAGGTTATTGGTCACTTGTTCAGCTAGGAAAAACAGGGAGAAAAAAGCTCAAGGTACCAAAGTAGTTCCTTTAGAGTTTTGTTTGCCTCCGCCTCCCCAACAGGATTTCTCTGTATAGCCCTGGTTGTCCTGGAACTCACTCTGTAGACCAGGCTGGCCTCGAACTCAGAGATCCTCCTGTCTCTGCCTCCTGAGTGCTGGGATTAAAGGCATATGCCACCACTGTCTGGTCTTTTAGAATTTTTTTTTAAAAAGAGTCTTGCTATGTAGCTATTGCTGGCCTTGGATTCACAGAAATCCTTCTGCCTCAGCACGCCAAGGGGTAGAATTTTAAGTGTATGTCATCTAGATGTGTGCATGCATGTATGCACGTGAAAGCTAAAAGTCAATGTGAGTTCTCTTTTTCAGTTACTGTCCATATTATTTTTTGAGACATGGTCTCTCACTGAACCTAAAGTACACTGGCTTGGCTAGACTGTAAGTGAGCTCCAGGGATCTGCCTATTTCCACCTCTCATTAAGGCCTGAGATGCATGCCACTGCACCTTCACATGCTGGGAATTCAACTCAGGTCAAAGTGTTTTCACGGCAAACACTTTGTGGAATGAACCATCTCCCTAACCCCTGGTTAAAAAAAAAAAAAAAAAACAAAATAAAACAAAACAAAAAACCTTAAGAACTGTAAATGTATAAATGCAGAATTACTACATTCAAGGTGTGGCAGTCACTGCAGTTACTTTCCAGTCTGGCCACCTGCTGGAAGCCTTTCTTTCATACACCCAACCTTGCTCTCCTTCCCATCCCCCCATCACTGGGACAAACATACCAAGGTATATTTCTCTGTAAGAAGGACCCAAGAGACAGATCATATTGGGAGGAGGTCTGGTGCTCAGCCGCTCGTTCTGTGCCTCCTGGAGTTCCCTGAGCAATCTTGTAGTCTCATCAAGCTTCCTCTGGAACACCTCAGCCTCTGTAAGAAGATGATACTGAAGAAAACAATGCAGCCTGTGTTTCAGCTATGGTCCCAGTCTCTGCTATGATTAGCTTCTACTCCAATTGAGACCAACAGTTCAGCAACTCTCTCCTAGTCTCTAAACCCAGCTGGCCAAGGTTTTTCTATCGTAAGCATTAGGTTAATTAGTGTTGACATGGCAGCAAGTCTAACGGCCTGTGTTGGACACTTTCCAGCAATCTGCGGTCTCAGACACTCACCTTCAGAGTCAAAGACTTCAGCTGGAGCACCAAAGTTTGTTACTGCTTGCAGTGCTGTGAGTCTGTCCTGACTGCTGGACTCCAAACGCACTGTTGGCTCTATTTGTGCAATCTGCTTTAACAGGGGGAAAAAGTTAATTATTTGAGCTTGCGAAACCATGACAGTGCCAAGGAAAAGTCAGCACGATGGCTTGTGCTTACAAGCAAAGTCATTCCACCTAGTCACCTTACAGTCATAATTTTGATTATGTCTCCCAAGAACTCTTTTAGAAATGTTGTTCTTAAATCCTGGCTAAAAAAGTGTCCATAAATCCACACTTCTCTGTAATGACATGACAGCTTATGCAATCTGCATAATTTGATTCATATGCCAACTACTCTGATGACAAAGTTCTAAGAGTCTGTTACTGTCTGAACCGTTAAGTGCTTTTAGTGACTATGGTAATGCCTGTTTCAAAGGTTAGTGTTTCAGTACATCTACAGCTTCAGCAGTTCCCTGGGTCTTCCTCAAGCCCCAAGGCTAGGTCATCAGTATTGCACAAGAGAACAAAGTTGTAAGAGAATTTTATTTTGGAATAAGACTCAGAATTTCCCTAATTTCAACACAACTTTTTAAGAATTTATCAATCTGCTGGGCGGTGGTGGTGCATACCTTTAATCCCAGCACTTGGGAGGCAGAGATAGGTGGACCTCAATGAGTTCAAGGCCAGCCTATTTACAAATTGAGTTCCAGGACAGTCAGGGTTACACAGAGAAACCCTGTCTTGAAAAACCAACCAACCAACCAACCAAAAACCAAACAACTCCCCCCAACCAAAAACACCCCCCCAAAATGTATCAATTCAATTAATTAACAAAAACCAAGATTTCATGGTTCCATTTTTCTTGGGTACTGACTTGAGCAGTTAATCTGAACACCTGGCAGCCCACATATGGGCTGAAGAGTGTGCAGTGCAGGAAAAATATGTACACTGATTCAGCCCAGCCCACATAACCCTACTCAATGGTCTTTTCTTAACCGATTTCCTTTCCTATTCTTTCACTAAACACAAGACCATGTTGGCTCCTCTATCCATGAAGATGGCATGGCTACTTAAGTACCATCTACTTTATTTGGACCTCATATCACAGGTTTTCCTTCCTTCAGTTAAAGCTTGGCATGAGTCTGTTCAATCTTAAAACACCCCTATATAGCTCAGTGTCCTCAAGTTGTGTGACCTACCAAGGTCTATCCTTTGCTTCTACTATTTTACTGAGATGCTCTGATGATGGATGACATCAGTGATGAATAACACCTGCAAGGGCTTATCTATCCCATCTTGCTGAACCTGCTCCATTTCTGCTAACCATCCTTTCATGGGATTCATACATTATTCACTTTGAACTTCTCCAAGGTTCTAGTCTTCAGCCTTTTCCATGCTCTCCCTGAAGAGTCTCATGTGAGTGGCTGAAATAAAATTAATTTTGAATCACTCCTGTCAGATTCACATCATAGCCCAGACTTTGGATTTCCTGGCTTATATTTCCAGCAATGTCCCAAACTCATCTGGCAGAACAGAAACTCTTAGAGCCTTTTCTCTCAAAAGTTCTTTTCCCTGCATGTCCTACATGAGCTAATAATCATCTATCTCACCCACCAGGTCTTGTCAGGTTTAAATTATGTCTCTCTTTTGTACAGCTGATTCCGGTGTATTTCCCAAATTCAGATTCTCTTTCTTTATGTTGATATATATATATATATATATATATATATATACACACACACATACATACATACATACACATATATATAGTTTAAAACAAGTCCCACAAGCCTCTTTAAACAAACAAACAAACAAAAACCTGGGGTCTCTACATAGCCCTATAGTTCTGGGACTTGCTATATAGACCAGACTGGCCTTGAACTCAGACTTCAGTTTGCCTTGCCTGCCAAGTGTTGGCATTAAAGGTGTATATCGCTATACCAGCAAGTCCGACAGCTTTTAAATGGCCCCTCTCTTTATAATTTACCACAGTAGCCCACCTTTTATCTTCTAGGAGAAAATCTCAGCTTTTTAGCACTGCACAGGGAACATCATCGGGTTCCCATCTACACAGTCTCACTACACGTCTTCCTCTTCCTGGGAACCCTGAGTCACCTGCCTCCTGAGCTTATTGAGTACATGTCCCATAGGCTGGGAGAATGAATGCCTTTTCATCTTCCAGCCCTGTTCCTGCTCCTGAGAGCATGAGCTCCCCAACCCCAAGGGTGCACTGGGCAGTTATACTGTGGCTTTGAGTTCCCTTCTTTAAATGTTTGTCTATGACATGAACTACTTCTAAACTCCCCAAATTACTGCTTTCACTCCAGATGATACTCAATACATTTTTATAAAATAATCATTGTGTGTGTGTGTGTGTGTTTATACATGCCATGGCATAGAATAGTGTTCTGGAAGTTAGAAGAGTTTTTGTGGAGTCATTTCTCTTCTTCCATGTTTATATAAATTCCAAGGATTGAATTCCATCCCCAGGCTTCTATGACAAGCATCTACCTGCTGAGCCATCTCACCAGTTCCAAGTAGTATTGTCACCTTAAAATAAATAAAGCCTAATCATCAAGGTCTCTTAACTTTTCTCCATTTAAGGAATAAAATGTAAGTACCTCTGCTTCTTTTGCTGTGTCCAGTGGTCTGGTCTGGCCTTCATCTTCAGATGAGGACTATATGGATAAAGGAAAAACTTTTTTTATGCAAGCAGTAAATGCAAATATCAAGGTAAATAGAAAACATAACTTTGTGGCAAGAGAAAAGTATACCACTTATAATATACACTTATAATATAGCATACTTAAAATTTATTTTAATTTTATGTGCATTTGTGTTTTGCCTGAATGTATGTCAGTGTGAGGTGTTGAATCACTGGGAGCTGGAGTTACAAGTAGTTGTGAGCTGCCATGTGGGTGCTGGGAATTGAACCTGAGTTCTCTGGAATAGTAGCTAGTGCTCACTGAGCCATCTCTCCAGCCCCAAGAATATATTTTTAAACCAAAATTAATTAATATAATTATTAACATTCTGAGTCTTTGTGAGTTGCTAGTGATGCTAAGATCCATGTCTGACTACACATAGCCAAGTGTGTGGTGCAAGCCTATAAACTAGCAATGGGAGACTGAGGCCCTGTATCAATTTTTTTTCTAGAACACTGTTTTTTATATATGTATATAAATGTATATATGCATGTATATATAAGAATATATTTGGTAAGTAGTATATAAATACCTAAATATATAGTCTTTGACAAGAAGAGGGAGGAAAAAACTTTAAGAGATTAATAGGCATTAAAGAAGCAACATTCTAGACAGGTGGTGGTAGCGCATGCCTTTAATCCCAGCACTTGAGAGGCAAAGGCAGGTCGATCTCAGTGAGTTCAAGGTCAGCCTGGTCTACAGAGCTAGTTCCAGGAGAGCTATGACTGTTACAGAAAATAACTCTGTCTCAAAAATCAAAACAAAACCCAACCAACCAAACAAAGAGGCAAAAGAAGCAACATTCTGGCAGTAGAGGCTTACTGTAATACATACAAATGCCACAGAATGTAGATGATCCCACATGATTGTATGCACATTAGTACAATTCACACATAAAAAAAGAAACACAGCTAGCTGGGTGTGGTAGTGTACACCTTTAATCCCAGCACTTGGCAGGCAGTAAAGGGTGAATCTCTGAGTTTGAGACCAGCCTGGTGTACAGAGCTAGTTCAGGACAGACAGGGCTGTTACACAGAAAAACCCTGTCTCCGAAAAAAACAAAAAGAAACAAACAAAAAGCACATCATGGATATCAATAAAAGTGTTATCTTTTTTTGAAGGTGTATACTCTGATATAGCCCATTTCTAATTTCTAGAAATTGTAAGCCAAAAGGCAAATTTTGTGGAGTCATTTCTCTTCTCCCACTTTTATACAGATTCTACGGACTGAACTCCATCCCCAGACTTGTGCAGCAAGCATCTTTACTTACTGAGCCATCTCAGCAGTCCCTAGTAGTAACGTCACTACTTTATATGTGTAACCTTTCTAGGATAAATTCTGAAAGACGAAACTGCTAGATCACAGGGCAAAAAAACCATATTTAAAACATAGCCAACAAATCAAAGCAATCCGATTCTAGGTAACTACTAATTCTAATTAGCTGAGGGGAAGGATCAAGTACATTTATTTTTGAACAGATGAAAAGGTATAAGGAAAGGAATTCACACGATAGCATTTTGCAGCAGAAGTCACTGAAGTTGAGGCACTGGGATCATAGCCACCATTAAAAGTTATGACTTCTGGAGCTAAGAGCACTTGTTCTTGCAGAGGGCCTGGGTCTGCTGGCCAGCACCCACATGGCAGCTCACAACCATCTCCAGTTCCTGGAGATTTGGCAGGCGTGCACATGGCATATGCATGCAGGAAAAAGTCATACACATAAAAACAAATAAATATAAACATTAAAAAAAAGTGACTTCCAAGACTCCTCTAACATGGTGACCAGAACATTATAGACATCAATAGGAATGATTCCTGGCTCTAGTCTCTGAGTCAGGACTGAATGATCCAGATTATAAACTGTTTTGAACTGAACTATAGAGTTCACAAGTGTTGACAAAGAGTCAGTCAGTGGTGAAGGTTTTCCTTTCTGAGGCTCCTACTGTGGTGCTATCTCTGCACAACAGGGAAAGCACACTCCCCATCGTGTCAGTCAGCTTCATTCCCAGCTCAGGAGCTCCACAGCACCTGCTGACTTCTGAACTCTATTTCTGAGTCTTACCAAAATTAGTAGAGTATGGCCATGTTCTAACAGTCCTGGATCCTGGAGCTGACTTACTCTTTTTGGTTCACTGTCCTCCATCCACGGCAGGCTATCCTTTCAGGGGGAATGGAGTTCATCTGTCACACTGGTTAATCCCTGGTCTCATAACATTGAATGTCTAGGGCTTCAAAGCCATTTATAAACAGCCTGTTTCTTTAGTAGCATGCTTACCACGTCCAAGTCCTGTAGGCTCCTGGAATGTCCTCCTTTTGTTAGAACATCTAGTAAACTATCTGCCATAACATACGGGTAATCTTGGCATGTGGCCAAAAACTCAGAGACACTAAAAATAAAAGTTGAGAAAATCACTTCTACAGAAGTAGTTTCTATGGCTTGCTTAGTCTTTATCACAGTTAACTCTTCCCATTAGATGTCCCATGGTTTATATACATTACAAAATGTTCTGTTCACAAACAGCATTGCATCTACATACTTACCAGTCACTAATTTACTATCATAAAAGAATTAACACACACACACACACACACACACACACACACACACACACAAATGAAGCAAAAGTGAAATGTTCTGAGGATTCCTGAAGAAAACAAGGATGTCAAAGATGAGGCTCAAGTCCTGGGGCTTCTTGCTAGTTCCCCTTAATAATCTTATTCAATTCAAGATTTTCCTATGTACCAAAACCTCAAAAATCACATCGTTGCTTGCATAAACAGGTATCAAAAGCTTAAAATACTCCAAACTACTTTCCCCAAGTAGTGTTCTGATCTAAAATCATCCCCCTTTCAGTAAACTGCAAGTCTAAAAAAAAAACCCTGATATCATCCCGACTTCTCTTACCCTCCAGTTAAAAACCAGCAACCTACTAATTAATTGCAAACCCTCAACACCACAATGGCTGCTCCCCTGGTTTACTGTTCATGTCCTGGTTTCTGTCCTTGAAGCCTATGCTTTGTATACTACTTACCCAAGCAATCCCTTCAGAATCACAAGCCAGACTGGGTCATTACTCTATGTGCCACCGACCATCTTCTGACCCACCGAGAACACCAAGTCCTCACAGCAATCTCCCATAGTGACCCTGTGACCACTGCTTTCCCCTCCACCTGTTCTGCTCCTTATAGTATTCCTGAAATTCTTGGCTGGGTCAGGGAAGCCCTCAGTTCAGGTCCCTTGCCTAGCCACTTTCGAGCCAGGATGCCCTTCTTTCAGAGAGAAGCACTGCTGGTTCCCTCTCCTGCCACTTTCCTGAAACTCAGCATCACCACCTCTGCTTGGGTCATTTTGTCTTGTTCTAAAGCTCTGTCACTTTCTGACAGGAGGGCATGGTTCTGTCTGGAATCCTCACTATCTGGAAGAATGTCTGGCACATAGTGGGTACACATTGTTAATCTGTGGATTGCCTCAATGAGTAATCTACAACAAATGTGTCCCATTTTGTGCAGTCTAAGGATAAAAACTGCTCAATCTGAAACCACAGACAGTATCTTAATGTAGGGACCCTGTCTGGAAACACAACACAAGCACGCACATTCAATGTGAGTGATCAGAGTTAAACACCTCCCAACCCAAATATAAATGAACAAAACCCAAAACAACAACAAAACCCCCAAACCAGGGGACTGGTTAGTCTACTGGATTAAATTCTTGAACATAATAAAAGTTAACAAAGTACCAGGGCCAAGAAGAGAAAATTCAGGTTCAATGTCCCATCCTGGTAAACTGGGAAAGTATCTCATTAAGCTGGTCAGATAAAAAGTACTCAGCATCCCGAAGAGGACTACGAAGTTACTGACCCACTGAGACATGTAAAAGGAATGGCTGGGAGTAACTATAATAGTTTGGTTGGAACATGATAGTTAACTGTCCTGTATGTGGGTTGCTTTAGAAATTAAGTCATCATGTCCTACATTTCAAGGCTTAGGGAAAATACTTTGTTGGTTCTTACGATGATCAAGTCTGAAACATAACTGACATGTAAAGTTTTATAGAAGAGCAGGTTCTGATGTAAGAAGCTCCCAAACTTGAGTATCAGGAACATCTTTAAAAAGGTATTTCTGTAGCCAGCCAGTGGTGGAGTACACCGTTAATCCCAGTACTCAGGAGGTAGAGGTAGGCAAAACCCCAAGTTTGAGGCCAGCCCGGTCTTATAGAATGAGTTCCAAGACAGAACAACACAGAGAAACCCTGTCTTGAAAAATCAAAATCCAAACCAAATCAAAAAGCTATTTCTGAAACTGGAGAATTGACTCAGTAGTTAAGAGCACTTGCTGCTATAGTAGAGAACCTGGAACTGACCCACTCAGCAGCTGACAACTATCTCTAACTCTAGTCCCAGGGGATCTGATACTCTCTTCTGACCAACTCCAGCACCAGGTTGGTGTGTATGTGGTGCACATACACACATGAAGGCAAAAGACTCATACACATAATAACATTGATAATCAAATAAATTTACAAAGAAAAGATATTTCTATTAGAAAATACTACAAACGCCAGGATCAAGAAGATATGTTCTCTCTAGACATTTTCTATCATTTGGATAACTTTATTAAGTCTACCTACAAATCACACATTGTATATTAATATTTGAGAAAAAAAATGTTCAGAGTACTAACAGGTGGCTTACCTGAAATTATTTGGAAGGTCAGAGTCTTCCCCATATGTTGAATAGATTAAATCAGAATCATCTTTGCTGATATTGGCAAATGTGGAGTCATAATGTGGGGCATAAGAACTATAGGGTCCATAATTCAAGTATAACACTGTCAAAAAAATTAAATACTACAATATCGTTTAAACTGTTAATATACCTTTTGGTTTTATTAAAAGACAGTATTTTCTAACTTCACTGACCTGAATATAAATCTAAGAGACACTCCCAATAGGTACAGTCATCTCTCAGTATACTTGGAGATTGACTGTACCCCCACAGATAGATTTGCTTGGAGCTTTAGGCAACTTGAAGAACCCAGTGCTATATAAATAACTGTTATACTGTATTTTTTAAAAATTGTTTTTATTGAGCTCTATATTTTTCTCTGCTCCCCTCCCCTTCAACCCTCTTCCATGGTCCCCATGCTCCCAATTTACTCAGGAGACCTCGTCTTTCTCTACTTCCCGTGTTAGACTGTATTGTTTAAGAGATAAGGATCGTCTCTGTCCTTCTGTTCTATTTCTGCCTGGCTTCTATGAGTTGGTGTTGGATACAGAGGGCCACCTGCACTGCAGAGCATTGACACAAAGTCAATGTTGAGTTATTACCACAAAGGAGGGAGGGAAAACTCTGCATACTAACAGCCAATTTTTCAGTTTCTTTTGAATCTGATGATAAACTGCTATTGCAAAAATATCAAGAAAGGCAGTGAATGGAGCAATAACAATTGCACTTTCTTTTCCCAACTCCCGGAAACAGGCAGGAGCCTCACCTGGGGTTACTCTGTTCCTTTTATCCTCTTTGAATCCCTGCAGGGTGTTCACTCCGGACTGCAGTCTTCCAGTAGTCATCCCTAGTCTCACAGGGCAGTAGCCCGGCTCTAGGACAGAAAACCCAGCACAATGAAGGAGACACACATGGTAGAGACTCAGAGATGTTATCAATACACTATGAAAGAGGTGGGCAGATTTTACTCTTCCCATTTCTAAGCTAAGCTAATTTGAATTCAGAAGGTATGTGGCATTGATCATAAAACCTAGTCCTCTTCATTAAACTCCAATGCTTTGTGGGATTCTCCATCATCATGTTACACTTCATCTAAATGTAAGACTTTTATTAAAATAGCTCCCTCGACATACTGGCACACACCTATAAACCAATACTAAGAAAACAAAGGCTTTTTGAGATAAGATCTCATGTGGCCTAGGGTGGTCTTAACTTGCTGTGTAGCCAAGGATGGCCTTTAATTCTCGATTTTTGCCTCCACATGTCACGTGCTGGGATTACAGACACTTGCCACACTTAGTTTCTATGATGCTGGGCATGGCTTTGCTCATGCCAGGCAAGCAATCTATCAGCTGAGCTAGTCCTATTACCGGTCATTGAATGCAGGCTCAACCATTAGTCTCCAAGCAAGCTCTTCCCTTAATTCCAGGATTCTTGCCATGGGTCCCACTGCTATTCCCTGATCATGTAAGTCATTTATGACATCCCTTAAGGAGGTTCTCCCTTCCCATCAAATGATAGGCAGCCACACCCTCCCTCAGCTCCAATTATGGCTAAACTAGTCTTCTGGGGTACTTATGATTAAAGACAAGTATTTAAGGAGTATTCAGACATCTCTTTCAGTGATGCTTCATGTGTTCTTACTACCTTACCCTCCAGGGTGTTAGGGTAAGGGACTTGTCTCATTTGCTCCCTTCACACACCTAGTTTAACTTACTCTGGACTCCAAAGACAGTGACTTGCCCACAGCAAACAATGACTACTGGACATTACTTCCTAAATGTCGGAATTCTGTTATTACTCATTTCTACTTTCTATGTTTCTTATGACAGTATGAAAATGTATTATTTATTAAACAAATTAACCTAAGTAGAAGTAGAAGCTAAGCTAGTTGTTCTATGAAACACATAGCATCCAGACAAATTCTTAGCAGCTAACAGTTGGATCTATCATTGCATGTTCCCCTAACCTGTTCTACCCCAGTAGAAGTTTAGAGCCAAGAACTATGGACAGAACCCTCTCAAACTGTGTGCCTAAGTAAGTCCTGTGAATTGTTTGGCAGGTATTCCATCAGACCAACACACCACTAATACAGCTCTGCATATAGTACCAGGTTCACACAGTCTTAAACCGTGATCCTACCTCCAACAACGGGCTCAACAGGATGAAGAAGTCCCAATGTTGTTGTTCCATCTGGTTTTCTTCTTTCAAATTCACACTGAAATGACCGAAGTTGTCAGGTGGAATAAAATTTAACACATTCTATATATATAGAACAAAGCTATCAAATGAACATATAGGCTATCATTAAATACAGAACACTGACTTTTATAGCCATCTTTGTCTACAGGTACTGACTGGCTAGAGAAATGGAAGATGAAGAAATACAATTTGGAAAAGCTGTGTGGGCCATTAGTTCTCCCAAACTATAAAAAAACAAAACAAAACAAAACAAAACTATCAGAACTACTATGGACTCACAGACTGCTGGGGGCTGAGGTACAGGGGGTATAACTCTACTTGGTTGTAAAACCAATGTAATCAATAGGGTAAATTCAAAAGACCAGAATGTAAGTTGTTAAAGTCTGCTGCCATGGCCGCGCACAGCTGCAGTTCCAGCATTCTGAGAGGCTGAGACAATCAGATCTGACTTCAAGGCCAATCTGGGCTACATAGTGACACCCAATCTCATAAAACAAAATGAAGTATGTTATCCACACACATCCCCCAAAAAAACCCCAGTAATAGAGAACAGGATAGACATACTTGACAGACTCTCCTGTGCGTATGGTAGGCATGGAGAGTTCTATGCAGATAAAAAATTAAAATACACAAGAAACTAGAAAGCTACTGGTCTCAGAGACACGAGCCAGTGGGTGGAGAGGGAAGGAGGCCCTCACCTGACTGTTTGCCAGCCGCCTCGTTAGCTTGCCCCCCGACTCCTGGACAACGCGCTCAATCTGCTCGTGCTCCCTTTCTGAGTTGCTGCCTCTCCATTTGTCTTCAAGCACATCTTTATCTTTCCTGAGACACATATTCACACAAAGTTAAAATGAGAAGCCTAAATAAGTAAGATGAAAAATGTTGAAAGTTGAGCACAGTAAGTGGAGACACTTGTCCTACAACCATCAACACCACTCCCCCAGCAACCTGGCAAAGGGTCCCAAGTGTTACTTGTATTACACACTGTTTTTTCTGGGTACAGTCATGAAAATAAATTTTAATTCAGATATTATTTTGAAGAGGAAGTATACAATTTAAACTTTCTTTGAATTATGAGAGCAGAAACCCCAACTGTTGATTCTAACTTTCTGTATGGGTGGCAGTGGGTATCAGTGGTGTGAGCGGGTAGCACAGACGACTGTCCAGCACCATGACCAGCAGCTCTTCAATGGAAAGCATGTGCACACCTCAGTGCCAGCCCATGTACACAGGAATCCCTAAGTCTTTATGGAGTGAAGTTATATAATACACTATAGAGCTATACAACAGTTCTATTGAAACAAACTCCCTGATACTGTAACTCCTTAATTTGCTGTAATACAACTAATAAAAATGTCTATTTGGAACTGTTCTGTGAGCTGTTTGGTTAATTTTTCACAGTGCTCTGTGTGACAAGAGGGAAGACACTATTAAGACAGATCTTTATGCCAAGAAAGGTAGCACTGATATACGGGGACTTGGTTTGCCCAAGTCAAACTTCATCAATATTCCTGTCTTGCTTTAAAAACAAAGCTTAATACTACTTTTGGGTATATACCCAAAGGATATTCAATCATACCACAAGGACATGTGCTCAACTATGTTCATAGCAGCATTATTTGTCATAGCCAGAACCTTGAAACAACCTAAATATCCCTCAACCAAATAATAAAGAAAATGTGGCACATTTACACAATGGAGTAAAAAACACAGAAGGAAAAAAATGACATCTTGAAATTTGTAGGCAAACGGATGAATTTAGAAAACATCATAATGATTGAAGTAACCCAGATCCAGAAAGACAAATATAATACGTACTCACTCATAAATGCCTTTTAGATATAAAGTAAAGAAAAACCAGCCTACAATTTACAAGCCCAGAGAAACTAAACAACAAAAGGACCCTTAGAGAAATGTACATGGATCTAATCTACACGGGAAGTAGAAAAAGACAAGATCTCCTGAGTAAACTGGGAACATGGGGATTATGGGAGAGGGTTGAAGGGGAGGGGATCGGAGAAAAATATATAGCACAATAAAAATCATTTTAAAAAAATTAATCCTTTTAAAAAATAAAAAGGGCAAGTGCAAAACCAAAACAAAACAAACCCCACAACTTAACCTTCATATTCCAAGATGCATTACTTTTTATTATCCTTAGTGGGGCTTCTGAAGGTTTGTGCTTCAGTGTCTCCAGAGTCTTCCCTCTCTCGTTGCCAGCAGCCACCGTCCTCCCCACTCTGAGAGGCATCTGTTCTATCTTTCTGCTTCCGAGTTTTCTGCAAGTCCGCCATGAAGTCTATACTCTGTTTCAGGCTCTGAATTCTCTCCTGAAAGTATTAAAAAAAAAAAAACAATACAGTATGGGTGTCACTGAGCAAGGCATTTTCTGCCACGAGAGCCTGCACTATTATTACGGAGGAAAGAGTACACACCAAAGGAACCAAGACAGTAAGGTCCACTTATCTCAGACCTCTTAATTTCCAATGCAAGCAGAGACTTTACAACGATATTGTGTCATGAAAAAGTCAATAAAAGACAAAATATGAACTGGGGCTAAGAATGACTGAGGATTTAAACTCTGGAACACCAGAAGGTGTTCCTATGTCCTATTCCAGAGTCTGGTATTCCAGAGTCCTATGGCGATCACCAATGATTAGCATTTTGTTGTGTGAAAACACAGGCTAGGGGAAAATAAGTGTTTGCTAGAATACTTTCTTTGTCATAGTGAATAATGTTCTTACTAAACAGAAAAGACTTGGCTATTTTGTGAAGCATATGCTCAATTTTCCACTGCAATAATGTGCTGGAAAATTTCACTAGGGGTTTGAGGTTTTATAGAATAGAGGACAAACCAGAAGCACAAACTCCTGAGTACTGCACTTTAACAGCACAGAAAGCTTTCGTGCAGTAACAGGGACTGGGAAGGACTAGAAGTCACATAACAAAAGAAATGAGTGACTCCCTATAATACCCACCGTCCAGACCTCTTCCACTGTCCTATGGGGGGTGGTGTACATGACAATACCCAAGAGCATCACTCCTGTTGTTTTTACTGAACATTTTGTGTTTTTGAGACAGTCTCAAATAGCTCAGTGTGGCCCCAAACTCATCATGTAGCTGAAGATGATCCAGATGTTCTGGGTCTCCCTCCCCAACCTTTATGCAGTACATACTGGGGGTATGAATCTAGGGCTTCATACATGCTTTGTAAAGTACTCAGCCAACTGAGCAGTCTTCAGCCCCTTACTTGCCCTTTGTGATAGTCTCCATAAGAATGGCACCCACAGGTCCATAGGAAGTGGCATTTATTGGGAGGTGTGGCCTTGTTGGAGGAAATGTTATGGGGGGGAATCATGTCTTCGAGGTTTCAGATGCTCAAGCCAGCCCAGTGTAGCAGTCTCTTCCTGCTGCCCATGGTTCCAGAAAAACCCTTAGCTCATTTCTCCAGCACCATGTATGTCAGCTTACATGGCTTCATGCTTCCCACCATGATGACAGTGGACTAAACCTCTGAACTGTAAGCAAGCCTCAATTCAATGTTTTCCTTTATAAGAGTTGTTGTGGTCATGGGGTCTCTTCACAACAATAGAAACTTTAGTTAAGACAGAAGTTGGTACAAGAGACTGGGGTGTGATTGATAGGCCTGACCATGCTTCTGTTTGGAGGAATGTGGATTTTGGATTAGAAAAGCAGTTAAAGATGGGTGTGGTGAGGCTAGGCATGTATCAGGGGCTCCCCTAAATGGAGACCTAGAGGTCATTGTGTGAAGCTGTGAAGGTGAAGTCTGGATTGCCTGGGAGAACCCAAAATATTGGAGATGTCAGAGCTGGGGAATAACTGCCGTATGGTGTCTCTCCACAACAATGGAAACCCTAAGACAGCTTTTAAAGTAATTGTAAAACTATGAAGTGATGTATCAGACTAAAGAAATGAAGACACAGCAGAGATCAAGTACAAACTTGTTCCCTATCGTCCAGGGACAGCAGTACCAGCAGTTACCATTTCAACTCTTTCTTCCGAGCATGGTATACTTTTTAGCGAACTTCCCACTCAATATTTGGTTAACAAATTAATACATTATTTATTAGTAAACTGTAAGTATTTGTCCTCCATATCATTATAGTCTTTAGTATTCTAAAAATTACAATGTATTTGTAGCTAATTATTTAACTAAAAATATAACTAGTCATTAAGACTCAAATTTCCATTAAACACAGTCAATAAACCTCTCTAGGAGTCTTATTTAATCCTTCAGGAAAAATTTCTACAGTGGAGGGTGAAGGGATCAAACTTTCTTCCAGGAAGATTTAATCAGTTTGCACTGGTATTCGACAGTTTCTCTGAATCAGTACCAAACTGAACAGTATTATTAAAACAAAACCAAAAATATACCACTCAGCATGCTTTTTAAAAACGTGCTATTTCACTCCATACTTCTGGACAGTAGTGAATTTGGCTATTCATTGTATGCATCACTCAGGTCATGCCTATTTACCTGTGGATCTGTAGTACTGACAATAGACTGATACTGTAGCCACTAAATAAACAGCTAGACAAACAGGCTCAGCTTACAAAATTCTCAGTAATTTTTAAGTTTCCATCCCATTATTTGCAAAGCACAAACTATAATAAAAAACATTTAGGGATATTATTAAACATAATGTGCATAGTGCTTAGAGAATAAAAATTTTCTAAATTTAGGAATGTCACAGGAAGAAGTTTAATTTTACTTTGAAAGAAATGCTTTTTGTGTGTGTGTAATTCATATCTCCACATAAGCATGCTATTTAACATAGCCTCCCTCCCTTCCAAGTTAAGTCTTACTAAATCCTGGGCTCAAGACACCATTTGCTTTAGAGTTCTTCCTCTGTAGCAGTCAACTCTTGAGTTAAGCACCAACCCTACCTACAGGAGGAATGCTGAGAAAGGCTGCAGAGCCAGGTCACCTAGCTGCTAAACAGCAGCAGCACTAGACATGTCATTAGTCTGATTCCAAGGCCACCGCACTACAAATACTGCTATGTGTACCAGAAGGTAGTATTCTACTCAAGTATTTATGACCATCTTTCCTTTGTTTACTTTGCCGTTTTAAGACAAGAACCTCATTGTGTAGCCCATAATGGCCCCAAACTCCCAATCCTATTTTCATCTCAAGTGTTGCGATGATATCCCCATGCCTGGCCATCAGTTCTTTCTTTATAAAAATAACACATGTACTAAGGACTAATATTGGGTGTAATGGAAAAAGTGACGACTGTTACCATTTTTCAATGACTACTCATAAGACCTGCTTCTGAAAAGATACCATTCATGGAAAGGCGTGTAGACTTTCTTGGGAGCCTCCACTGCTAGACTAAGTAGTGTTAACTCGGAAAGCTAAAATTTAAAGGTTTATAAATCACCATTGTAAGGATCCCTTCCATTTAGAGTGGAAGTCAAAAAGGAGGCTAAGCACAAGAAGATTACAGCTCCAAGACATCTTTAAAAAGCAAGACAAATAAAGAGAAAGAAAGGGGACAAGCTAACCTTCCTGTTCCCAGTAAACTTGAGAAGACATCGAAATCTTCAGTTATGCTGACTATAGTATTTAGACAAAATTGCGTCAAGTCAGGATTAAAAAGAACAAAACAAAACACCACTAGATTTTTCCTTGAAAATCTATTACACACTGGGTGGTGAGGGCACATACCTTTAATTCTAGCACTTGGGAGGCAGAGGTAAGCGGATCTCTGTGAGTTCAAAGCTATCCTGGTCTACACAGCAAGTTTCAGGATAGCCACAACTATATAGTGAGACCTTGTCTCAAAACAACAACTACAAAAACCCCAACAAAACACACACTCGCCCTCCCCTTTCCAACTCTCAAAATTATTTTGGAATGAAGACTGTATTTGCTCAATGAACTTTTATAACAAGCAGGTCTGGATTTTTAAATGTGGAACATGGCTTCATTCTAGATTCTGATAGTCTTTCTGCAAGAAATGAAACAAACATTTTACATTCTCCTTTACAAATTTTGCTAAACAGATTTTAAATTTTAGAACTGATGTCTAAATATTAGGAATGTAAGAATAACCCCCAATTCAAATGTTCTCCTTTTCCTAGGTAAGCTGATTTAAGAATCTCTCAGAGCCAAGCATACAGACACCCAGACATCTGCACACCAACGCTTTCTTCAACTGTAGAAATTTAACACAGGTGACGACCAGACAAATTCAGAAATCTAGGTGAACACGTGACTAATTTCTGCCATCCTGTACTTGCTCCAAGCCTGAGCTTATGCTCTTCATTCTGATCCCTTTCTCCTCCTGTGTGTGTCTGCATTATAATGAAACTCAGGTTTTCTTTGTATAAAAGCCCCATCTCTGGCTATTCTTTTCTGTCTCTTCCCTATTTTAGCTCTTATTTGAAATTAGAAATGTCATGCTAGAAGTCACGCTGGAGACCACAGATAAGGCCCCCCCCTTTTTTTAAATGGGTGAAGCTCACATACTTTCTTGCCACAATCTACGTGCAGCAGTCGAAGCTCTCTCCTGCAACTGGATTATGGCTTCCTTCTTCATTATGCATTGATTATCATCCTTCAAGGAAGGGTCTGTTCTTGTACAGAGGTAGTTTTGAAAAATTTCAAGTTATTTCTCATTCGTATATTTTGTTTCTTATCACTACAAGCCATGTACTTCACTAGGAAGTGCAGGGCCGATCAGAACATTAGATTCCATCACTAAAGTAAACAGAACTTTTCTCTCTAAAAGACCTCATTCTCCACCCAATTTTATTCTGAAATTCAGGCTGCTGTTTCTCCCACAGCAAAATAAATCTATGGAGAGCCTTCAGGGAAATAATTACAGCTGATTGTTTGCCTACACATGCATAAAGCCCCAGGTTTGAGTTCCAGCACTGAATAAAATTGGGAGTGGTGGTATAAGTCTGTATCTCAGTACTTAGGAGGTGGAGGTAGGAGGACTATCATCCTTGGCTAAATGGTCCATTCAAGGCTGGCCTTGGCTATAGGAAACCTTGTCTTTAAAAAAATAAAAAGGATGGCTTGTGAAATGGCTCAGAAGGCTGGCACTTGCCACCAAGCTTGACAATCGAAGTTTAATCTTCAGGATCCATGTATCAGGAGAGAACTGACGCCCTACAAATTGCTTTTTGACTTCCACACACATGCTATGGCATGTGGATGAGCAGATGCATGCGCGCGCGTCTGCGCGCGTGTGCGCACACACACACACAAATAAATGGAATAGTATAACTTATGAAAAAGAAATGACTGGCCAGGCGGTGATGGTACACACCTTTAATCCCAGCATAGGGGAGGCAGAGACAGGTGAAATCTCTGAGAGTTTACAGTCTACAGAGTGAGTTCCAGGACAGTCAGGGTTACACAGAGAAACCCTGTCTCAAAAAAAAAAGAAAAAACAAAAAAGAAAGAAAGAAGAAAAGACTATATGTGAGCTTCTTCCTATCTTTTCTTGATAGAAATTTTCTCCTAAGTTCTCACTACTTTAACATGATTTGCCAATGAGGAAGATATCACTTTAGTGAAAATATATATTGTATAGTGATTGTTAATTTGTGATAAAGTTTCTTTACCTGACTAAGAATTTTCATCCCTGAGTGCAACAGCTTCTTTGCAGCTTTATAGTAGATGGTCTCTGGCTTATTGTAAATCATTGCATTAGTACACATTAGCTTGAAGTTATCCTAAAAAGAAAGTATCAAGAAGAAAAATGCATTAGAATAAAACTCTTAATTCTTTGTCTGAAATCATAGAGGCCCTGTAAAAATTTGAAAACCAAAAGAAGACATCTTTTTTTGTCACCGTTTATTAAATAACAAAGACAATTTAAGACCAACAAAATAAATACCTGTAATTTGTTTCTAAATTCTTAAGCATTTTAGTATCTTTCAATTAGTTTAGCATTAACTTTCAATCTAGAATATAAACCTAAAAAGTTTTTTCAGGCCGGGTGGTGGCGGCGTACACCTTTAATTCCAGCACTCTGTGAGTTTGAGGCCAGCCTGGTCTAATAGAGCTAGTTCCAGGACAGGCTCCAAAGCTACAGAGAAACCCTGTCTCAAAAAAAAAAAAAAAAAGTTTTCAGTACAGTCACACACACAAAAATTTTGGAGGAATTATTTCTAGTTCAAATTTAGTAATTCAAGCTGGGTAGTTCATATAATTAAATAATACCCTCACTTTTTAAGGCAAATTTTAAGTTTGTTATTTATGAGTTAAATATTTCAGTTCAAATTTTAATTAAAAACTGGGACCAGAGCTAAATTATAACAAGTTTTTCTGCCAAATGCAAATAAACTAAGTAAAAATGTTAAAATATTTACACTATGTTAAAATGTTTAGACACTACTATAAATTAAACATAATTTTCAGATATTATAAAATCATGTCAATGTGAAATAAACTATACAACATCAAGGAGTTACAACATATAACTGGAACAGCTAAATTATCAGAACTAAACTTGAGGCTTTTATTACATTTCAAAGATGTGTATGTACTGAAGCAGAAGCCCTGTACTTTTTCCTGGGGACACATTTTCACATCTGTAATTATGTGTAATCGTGCCACTGCCTTACTGTTTAAATGGGAGGAACCTAAACAGAAAGAACATTGCCCCACAAAGCTCCAAGTCCCAACCAAAACCCCTCAAATCTCACTAATAGCAGTAATGACAATTTAGAACTTAAAATAAAAATAGGGAGATAGACTAAGTTCTTTTAAAAATTTATGAGCAGATTCAAAGCCCATAATAAATTTGCTACCAAGTTAAAAATCAAATGGAAGTGTATGTAGATACTGAGCTCCGGTCAAAGGTTTTGCTAACTTCTGGACCTCTCAGAATCTTACATGAGCTACAGAGGAATGTAAGTGAGGAAAGACATCAGACTGCTATGTACACTCAGGAAATAATCACTTAGGACTATAGCTGACAGGAGAATGATGAATTTATGAATTGGCAGGAGATGACTTTAATGATACTCTGTCATCTGTTAAAGTAACAAGTCTTTATTCTTTGTGATGTTGGGGTTTAAGCCTAGAAACTACCTGTAGCCCCAGTCCATCGTGACCTTCAGATTCCTTCAATTTTAGCTGTCATGTGGTGAGTAGGCATTACTGCACTCTGTGTGATGGCACTTGACCATTCAAAAAGCTCAATCTATTTACACACTTTCCTTTCTGTGGAAAGCTCTAGAAGGCTAAAATACCCCATTTCAAATGCTGAAAAGCTTTGACTTACTTAAACGTCTCAGGGGACAAACCCCTACTCTCACCTGTGACCACAAGAGAAAGATCAACAACAAGCAAACAAACCAACTCCATCAACTGTAAAACTCTTTTCTACTGAGCAATAAAGTCTGAAATAAAGTTTCAGACTGATTTTCACTAGATGAAAATATGTCAGAAAAAAAAATGTCCATTTAAGTAAGAAGGTGGATTCAGGTTTCCAAGTCAACTATTAAAACTAAAACTGAAGCAAATTAGATGCTGGTAGTCTGCATAAATTTTAGTTGAGTAACATGTGAATTAAAAAAAAAGAGTAAGTAAAAACGTTCACTGTTTCATTTCTTTTTGAAACTGATTAGTGTCCATCTTTTAGGTTGGTTGAACACTACCATATGGGACCTTTCTCCCTGCCAAAAGCCAGGTGAAGTGTGTATGTGTTCTAATGCAAACTTTAACCACCTAAGGTTAATTTAAGACTAACATGAAAGCACATCCCTGAAATCAACATATACTCAGACTATTTGAAGAGGGAAAAAAACCTAAAACAAGAAACACACATGCTGTCCTGGTGGCTTCTAGACTGTTGTGGGTGAGTGTGTGTTTCTGTGTGTAGACCAGAGGTAGATGTCAGTATATTTCTCTCTCATTGAACCAGTAGCTCAGTATTTCAATTAGACTAGTTGGCCAAAAAGCCATTGAGATCAGTCTGTTTCCACACAGTGTCTGCCTACAAAGTGCTGAGGTAAACAGATTACCTGCCTTATGTGGGTGTTAGTGACTTAAACTCAACGTCCTCATGCTTTGTATAGAAAGTATTTTAGTCAATGCAACATCTACCCAACCTCCCTGTATTATATATATATATAGTTTTTTGAGACAGGGTTTCTCTGTAGCTTTGGAGCCTGTCCTGGAACTAGCTCTTGTAGACCAGGCTAGCATTGAACTCACAGAGATCCGCCTGCCTCTACCTCCTGAGTGCTGAGATTAAAGGCGTGTGCCACCACCTCCCAGCCCTTCTATGTAATTGTTATTTCTTCTTCCTCCCGCAGACTTGGGATCACATCCAGCACCTTGTGTATTAAGTAAGAGCTCTCCTCTACCATCAAGCCACACATTCTCAGCCCCCTTCTCTTCAAAAGTCGAGAATGCAGTGTGCTGAGATAAATACAGTCAGAGTAAACTCAGAGAACAATTCATTTTCATCAAACTGGAAAATACAATTAAACTTTCCTGTAGTATTTTAATTTAATTTATTAATAAAATAATGTGTTTATGTGTGCAAGTGTGCCATGATGCATGTTTGGTAGACAGGACAACTCTAGGGAACAGGTCCTCTCCTGAAACCTCATGGGACCTTAGGGATCAAGGTTTGTATATAAATACTTCTACCCACTGATCCACCTTGTCAGCCCAAGAGAAAAATACAGACTTTGGACATTTAAAATAAATAAAATTATTTTAAAATGAAGCTACAAATAAAGACTGAATATCAGATTGCTGGGTGGTGGCACATGCCTTTAATCCCAGTGCATGGGAGGCAGAGGCTGGTGGATCTTTGTGAGTTTGAGGCCAGTCTGGTCTACAGAACAAGTGCCAAGAGAACCAAAAGCTACACAAACTAAAAAAGAATGCTCATCACCATGACTGGTAACTAAATACAAAAAATAACCTTTATTTACCTATTTTGTACACACACATACAGCATCACACGTAGTACAAGCCAGAGGACAACTCTGTGGAGTTTGTTTTCCCCGCTATCATGGTGTTTCTGGGACTCTAACACATACTTGTAGATTGTTAACATGATTTTCTATTTTACACAGGATCCAAGAGTTTGACTCTCAGTTAAAATGCATTACACTTTAGTCTACTTCTCTAAAAAGCTAATGAGTGACATCTTGTGGCACTCATCCATAATCCTAGTCCCTGATAAGTGAAGAAAGGCAGGAGGATCAATTCAAGGTCAGGTTAGGCTAAAAAAGATCCCATTATAAAACAGAATAAAACGACTAATTACAATTACCTTTAGTTCTTCTATGGACTGGTAGTCATTATTCTTGATCTTTTCCTTCATGGTACTAAAATCCATTGGGTGTTTAATTATCATGGAGTAGCCAGGAGCAATAAAGTCCGTCACAGGAAATGAAAAGAAAGCACTTGGGTCTTTTCTGTACAGGCATATAAAGGTAAAGTTATATTTTATTTCTATCGCAACCTACTAGTACAGAAGCAAAGTCAGAAAAATAAACTCTCATATACAGAAAGAAATTATATATGTTTTTCATTGAAATATTGAAGAAATGATTTTCAAGACCAACTAACAATAAGGATCAGAGACTTTAAACAGCAGCGCTCCCCTTTCCCCCAGGGTCTCACTGTGTAGTTCTAGCTGTCTTGGAATTCACACTGTAGACCAGGCTGGCCTCGAACTCACAGAGATTTACCTGTCCCTGCCTCCCGAGTGTGGAATTAAAGACAAGTACCACCACCGCCTTGCTAACAGCAGGACTCTTAAGACACAAAACCTCTCTTTTAGAGAAGCAATCTATTATCAGCACCTTTTATGAGTAATCTAGACTAACTGCCCAGTGATTCCGCCTGGTTTAACTATGAATATACACCTATAAGCTTTCTTTCTGGTTCTCTACCTAATAGTTATGCATTCCAGGTCCAAAAAAGCATACTTTCCCATCAACTAACTTATCTGTTATATAAATGTGGAACCCTCCCCCAAGACATTTAAAAAGTTCCTATTGGGGGGCTGGAGAAATGACTCAGAAGGTCAGAGGTTGAATTCCCAGCAACCATATGGTGGTTCACAACTATCTATGAGATCTGGTGCCCTCTTCTGGCATGCAGGCAGAACACCGTATATATAACAAATAAAATTCTTTTAAAAAAAGAAAAGTTCCTATTGGATTGTGGTGGAAACTGATGGGATATGGGGCAGGGCTGGGACTGGGCATAGGAGAGCCTATTTAGGTTCACTCTGCAGCATCATCCCTCTGGGTGTTTCTCTTGTCTGTCCCATCCCCTGCAAAGCAACTCAACTGGAGGCAGTGGCCTTGGAAAGTTAACAGTTTGTGTAAATCCTCCTGTGCTGTAATCCTTGTGGTGACTCAGGAGCCCTATGTAGCCTCTAGGCCCCGGCCTGCCTGTTTCATCCAGCTGCAGATAGATGCTCAGGACATGTAACAGGAGAGGCAAATAAAGAAGGAAATCCTAACCTAATGAAAAGGGTGATACTTAAGTGTACAGTGCCTTTAGGGGCTTTAAAAAGCCTCCTGTGCCAGAGTATCTCACTAGAGCAGGTCTATGAGTGCTGTATAATTATATTGGAAGAAGGGGTACTGTTTCTTTACGAGATACTGAACAACTGAGTTCAATCCCCAGGACCAACATGGCTGGAGGAGAGAACTGATTCCTAAAAGACACATGCTATAGCAAGCACACACATACGTACACACATACATAACCTTTATATGTGAAAACTAGTGCTTTCTACCAGAGGTTCATTCTCAACTCTGGCTGTACAATTTAAGAGTGGGATAGGGAAGACTAGCCCCAACCTCACTATAGCAAGACTTTCTTAGGAAGAAGGCACCAAGTCATTGGTGCATCCAGGGTTCAGTGTGGCATCTACATATGGCATTAGTATGTTTAATATTGTCAGAGTTGAGTATCCATGCTCTTTGGGACAACTACTTAAACTGTACGGTGTGACTTCATACAGTGTTACATAACTGCCAGTGGGGATGGTGTCAAGAAAAATTTGGCATTGGGCAATTGTGGCATATAATTTTAATCCCAGCACTTGGGAGGCAGAGGCAGGCTGATCTCTGTGAGTTTAAGGCCAGCCTGGTCCACAGATTGAGTTCCAGGATAACCAGAGATACAACATGGAAGAGGAAAAAAGTCAATTTCAAGTTGAGCGTAGTGGAGTATCATCTTTAATCCCAGCACTCTGAAGGTGGAGGGCAGAGGCAAGAGGATTTCTTTGAGTTCCAGGCAGGCCTGGTCTACATAGTAAATTCCAGAACAACTCTAGCTATAGAGACCCTATTTACCAAAACACCAAAAAATAAATAGAATAAATTCCACAATTTTTTAATGTTTTTATGTTTGATCTGTTTATCTACTTTTTGTTACTATACATTTGAGACTACATAAAAATTTCTTGAGTGGAAAGAGGTTACAAGTGGAAAAAATTTAAGCCCTTCTCTATAAAATTAGGCCATTAGACTATTACCCACCCAGCAAACTTGGCATATCAGATTTTGTTAAAACTTTAACAAATGACTAAAAGCAAAATAAGTCACAGCAACAATTTTGAAAACCTGTCTATTATCTTGCCACTGACAGAGCTGGCGCATCAGTTGGTGGTTTTCTCACTGGCAGGTGATGGCAGAAACTTAGGAGTAAGAATAATTTGTAGCTGGGAAGAGGTGATACGAGTCTTTAATCCCAGCACTCTAGAGGCAGAGACAGGAGGATCTCTCAGTTTGAGGCCACCTTGGTCTACATAGAGAGAGTACCAGGACAGCCAGGGTTACACAGAGAAACCCTGCCTCGAAAAATCAAAAAGAGAACAATATACACGGGCTATAAATCTAGTAAAAGAGTTAGAACCTGAACTCAGAGCGCCTCTGACAGCTAAGCTACAAAACTAAAAAGTAATGCCAACGTGGAACCACACACAGAAGCCCAACAGTCCATGGGGTTACCATCAACAACAAGCTTCACCAATGGCTGACCTCTTACCTTTAAGGACAAATTATCTGTACTCTTTAAAAATTAATCATTTTAATATAGAGACTACCTTACTTTCTAAACAAAAATGGTACCACCAGAATTGACCAAATATATTTTTTAAAAATCAGGTTGAACTCTGAACCTCAAGGACAAAAAAATCATCCAATCCAATCATTAAGGCTAGTCACAGAATGTGGCTATAGATTCTAATCCTTAAAATGTGCTGATCACTGTTAGTTTCTCTGACTTTAAATACTTCCTGATGTAGACTTTATTTTTTAGGGTGATATTATTGGCAAATAGTCTGCTCTTTTGTTACAAAAAGCAAAACACTTTATAGTCACACCTTCTAACTGGGATACAATAGCAATTCTTAACTCTTCTCTGCTGGACTGACAAGCAATAATTTACTGATATGCAAAGATTAGAGATATCATTTTCTTAGCTATTCCAACACATAAACAGAGCTAGTCAAAGCCTTGCCTTTAATTCTAGCACTTAGGAGGTAGGCAGATCTCTGTGAGTTTCAGGCAAGCCTGATCTACAAAGTGAGTTCAAGGACAGAGCTACATAGTGAAATCTGTTTGTCTCAAAAAAAAAAAAAAAAAAGCAAAGAAGCTAGGAACTATTGATTTTAATTGAAAAGCCAGACGGATGTCGAGAATATAAACTGTATCAGATAACAGGTAACACAGCTAGGAGAAAAGTTCCCATCAGATTGCAAACCCCACAACCGTCAATCTTCTCAAGTAAAATATCACTGAGTTGGAATTCAAATTGGAGTAAAAAGATGCATCAAAATTTTAATTACAGCTGAGCACCTCTTTTCTTTTTATGAACTTAAATTGGTTTATTCTACCTACCAGAATACTTTAGACAACAATCCTACACTTAAAGGAGTATAAAGCCAGGCACAGTGGCATACACCTACAATCTCAGCATTCAGGAGTTTGAGGCAGGAGGATGATGAATTCCAGGCTAGCCTCAGATTGTGAGAGCACATCTGAAAGACAACATACTCAAGTAAGTATGTTACAGCACTTCATTTTATCTTTCAGACTTAATAACTGCTGAACACAGGCTAGGTGCTGTACAAACACAGAGAAAGGACTGTCATGTACTACCAGGAAGAGGGGGGAGTTATCTGTATTGTTACTGCTAGTTTCAAGTTTTAACACGAGAAACTAATTCAGAAAGGAGAAACCAGACATTTCATAACACCCTTAAAGTTGCCAGTTGAAACAAACGAAATTAAGAGTACATGTCACCCTCTTGGGACTACTTCTGTTGCCAGGCAAGGTACTTACCATCTACTTTAAAACCAAGTGTGTTTAGGTTTAGGTCCTACAACATGACGTTAGATAACTAGCAACAGAGATGTGGTTTGGACCTCTACCTTCGCCCTTTGAGTTACTATCTTTAGAAAAGCTGGAAAACATTTACCTCTGCAGTTGTCTCATGAGTTGATTCAAAGCTTCCTGAAGGGGTGTCTGTTCTACTTCTAAAGCAAACAGGAAATGTGTGTTAGAAAGGTATAAGCTGGCACTTCAGTTTTCTATCTAGATGACTCATCTATGTTTTATTAAACATCTCACACAGGAATTCAATTTATCATAAAAGTGTTAAAGGCTGAGAATAACAAATCAGTTGAAGCTAACTTAGAGCTCTCATGCAGCAAGAGAAATAAGAGAACTTAGAATAAACTTGTTATCGGTCTTTTAGTTATAATTCAGAAACTAATGCTTGATCCTTTTCCCTCCCCACTCAGGACAGATAGCTCAAAGTAACTCCAACCTTCTTGTCTGGCTAGAGAGCTCGTGAGAGGCTTCTCAGGAGGTAAGTCTAATCTCATAGGGGCATGGCACTGGATATCTTTCTCTGCCTCATTCTCCACACGGTCTCGATCTCGCTTCTTTTTATCGTCCTAAATAGAAAAATGGGAAGCAATTTAGAAATATTTCATAATCAACATATTTAAACATATCATTTTGGTTTTGAAGGAAAAAAGGTACTACTGAAAAGAATAAATTCTAAATTAAGAAATCTTAGTGTATTTTGCTGCCATCTACTGGACAAAGAAAACATGTGCCTCGAGGAAAAGTGCATTTCTCTAAGCCAGAAATAATAAATAGATTAGAAAAATACTACTATTCACACACACAATATATATAATATACATCAGAGCAAACCTAAGATTCCCATAACCTCCAGGAAAAATCATGAAACATTAGTGAGCCAACATTAATGAGCTGTACACAAGCTGAAGACTTGAATAAAGGAGATAAATCATGTTAATGAAGTCAGCTCTCTTCAAGCTCATCAAATTCAATGTAAGGCCATTCAAAATTGTAAAACAGGATTTTCCATGAAATCTGCAAACTAATTACATACTTTTTCTTAAAGAGTGAATGATTTAAACCAGGAGAGTTTTGAAAAGGTCACAGAGAGATAATCCGAGGATGTAGATGCCTGATAAAGCATTTGCCTAACAGCTGAGAAGGCTTGGTTATGTTTGATTTCCAGCACCACAAGCAATCAAACAAGCAATGAAGGAAAGCTACAGAAGACAGTAAGCCTTAATGGCACTAAGCATTTGTACAGTGAGTGTAAAGATAATGTGAACAAAGGGACAGACAAACAGAACAGAATGGAATATAAACCCAGAAACCAACCTACACACAAAACTCCAATAACTTAAGTGTACAGAGCAAAACTTCAGACGTTCAGATAAATGATTCTTGAAGACCCAAGAGTAGGGAATTTTTTCCTTAAGTGAAACACAAAAAGACTGGTTCTTAAAAAACAAATTTGATAAATTTGACTTAAAGATGTATATTTTATGTATACATGTATGCCTGGGTGTATATATGCATACCACATGCATACAGTACCCATGGAGGCCAGAAGAGAGCCTTAGATATCCTGGAACTGGAGTCACAGGTAGTTGGGAGCTGTCTGATATGGGTACTAGGAACGGAACTCAGGTCCCTTAGTAGAGCAAGTGCTCACAACAGCTGTCTCTACAGTCCAAATTTGAAACTTTATTTATAAATTTTGGTGCCTCAATAAAGCCAATAATCCAAGCTAAAATATCTAGCCATATAAGGCTGGGATGAAGTACTTGAAACCTAAATAATCATAAAAGAGAGAGCAAGAATACACAAAACACTTACAAAACATGTAAAGAGAGTAAGAGTTAAAAAGGACACCACAGGTAATTCACAGAAGGGATGTAAAAACTAGCTCTGGCTTCCTAAGAGTCAGGAACTCTAAACTTAAAAACTAGAAGGCAGGGCTAGAGAGATACCTTAGCAGTTAAGAGGATTGGCTGCTGTCCCAGAGGACTTGGCTTTGATTCACAGGGCGTCTCACATCTCCAGATCCAGGAGATCAATGCCTTCTTCTACCTCTAATGGGCACCGGGCATGCAGTGGCACACCCATATACACACAGACAACCCATCCACATTAAAAAATAAAATAAAAACTTAGAAGACAGTCATTCTGGTGGGCAAAATTTAAAAGTCTGAACAAGTTTTAATAAAGATGTAGAGAAATAAGACTCAAATACCTTCCAATCAGTGGTTCTCAACCCTCCTAATGCTGTAACCCTTTAATATAGCTCCTCGTGTTGTGGTGACCCACAACCATTATTTTCATGCTATTTCATAAATGTAATTTTGCTACTGTTATAATTCATAATACAAATACCTATGATTTCTGATGGTCTTAGGTGACCTGGACCCAAAGGGGTTGTGACCCACAGGTTGAGAACTACTGTGTTCTAGATAGTTGAGTAGACACAATTAGGAAAACAGTTACAATTACCTTACAAAGTCTGGAAAAACATTCCCCCTAATCTCAGCTATTCCTTTCTCTATATATAGCCTAGAGAAACCTCACAACATGATAGAGAACTACACAAAAAATTATTATTGACTTATGGTTCTTTTTTGTTTTTTCAAGACAGGGTTTCTCTGTGTAGTCCTGGCTGTCCTGGAACTCATTATACAAACCAGGCTGGCCTCAAACTTGGAAGTCTACCCATTTTTGGCTCCCCAGTGCTAGGATTAAAGGTGTATGCACCATGCATGGCTTAATGGCATGATGGTTCTTAAGAGGAAATGTGCACTAGAACCATCCATAGATCTTAAAACACAGGTGGCTAGTCAGGGTCCCCAGAGTTGCTGAGCTAATGGTACAAGGTAGAGCCTGCGAATAGGCAGAATGCATTGTATCAGTGACCCTGAAGTGTTATCCCTATGCCAGCAATACCCATGTAACCAGGAAGTTTTTATATGCACATTCTCAGGCTCAGAAGAGAAAGTTGAGCTCTTCCTTAAAGAACACAAAACAAGAGAAAAAAATAAGAAAATAATAGTTCCAATCTAGGAGTCCAACATCTATATGGTAGAGGTTCTAAACGAAGAGAAAATGGGGGAAGAAAATGACCACAGAGATACTTTGAGCAAATACCTAAGGACTGAAGGTACAAGTATCTATTATGAAACATTAGGACAATGAGAAAAAAGGGGACAATCCCAAAAATTCCAAGGAAACAAATAATGGTCACAAACTAAGAATTAGAATGCAACAGAGTAACTTCTGAATGACAGCCAGAAAATATCTGAAATATGTTTAATTAATTTTTTTTTTCCAAGACAGGGTTTCTCTGTGTAGTTTTAGAGCCTGTCCTGGAACTCTCTCTGTAGATCAGACCTCAAACTCAGAGATCTGCCTGCCTCTGCTTCCTAAGTGCTTGGGATTAAAGGCATGCATCACCACTACCTAGCTTATTTTAAATTTTAAAATGCTTAAAATCTGAGAGATGGAGGAATGGAAAGATGGCTCAACAATTAAAAGCAGTTGTTCTTCCAGAGGACCCAAGTTTGATTCCTATATTAGACAGCTCACAATTGCTTGGAACTCCAGCTAAGGGTGTGACACCCTCTTCCGGGCTCCACAAGCAACTGCATGCACATGCACCAAATTTTAAAATTCTGAGGGAAAATACTTTTCAATTTAAATTTCTATACTGACTCAAACTCTGAATTTGTATGACAATTCTATCCAAGAGCAAATATTTCTAAATGTGGAAAGCTTACCAAAATCTACCTATACAAACTTCCTAGGTTTCTAAACCAGGGGTGGTGGCATGCATCCACAACCCCAGCAATAGGGAGGATGAAAACAGAAAGATCACACTATATATAGTGAGTTCTAGCCCAGCTGCCTACCTGATGTTCAAGTGCCCAAGAATACAGTCAATACAAGACGTGTTGAGCCTCACAGGTAAAACAATTTACAACATGCCCACTTCCAAAGCTCTTAGTTAAAACAAAGACTCGTGCTTCTGTGGTTTTTGTAATTTAGGGAAAGGTTGTGACTACTGTCATAGTCTACCTAAAGGCAACAAAAATCCGGTCAGAGAGAAATACAATTTTTCCCCTGAATACTTTAAAACATCTTAAAGAGACAATCTCTAAGGTCTGGTTACTCACCAGTGTGTTTACTGACAGGGAAAAGGGCACTTTGGCTGTATACAGCAAAAGAATTCTACAACCAAATCATGCCAATTAGTTTTAGGAAGCCACACAGAGGTAGTTAAAATTTCGTGCAGAATTCTAGGACAATTCCAGACATTGACGGGCTCAACTTTGCAGGAGGAAAAGTTCTTACTATTTAGCCTACCTTGTAATTTACGACATCAGTTACTAATTCTTTTTCATTTAGTGAGAATGGTTGTTTGTACTCTTGGTTTACAGTTATTTCAAGCACCTAATCACATTCTCTTCAACCGACTCAAACTCGACTTTTATTTATTTTCTGAGACAGCTGTATTAAGCAGCACAGGCTGGCATCAGCCTCCAGAGTGCTGGGATTACAGGCTCGTGCCATCTCTTCGCAGCTCCCTTTGGCATTAAAACACGTATTTCGGAACAACACCTGAACTCCCGAGGATGGCACTCACTTCAGAAGAACGGCTAAGTCTGCCAAACCTCCACGGCTTTCCGGGGAATGACGTCTTACCCTTCCTACATAATTACACAGCGCCTTTTGATGCAGCTTCTGAAGGCCAGGACTCAGCTGCTTACGTGACGTGTGGGGACAGCACAAGTGCTCAAAAGTGTTATAAAGACAAGACTTGCTGAGCTCCCAGGTGACCCAGGCTTCTGGTCTGTCTTACTCCTCTACAAAGCCAGCCTCCCCAGGCGCCCTGGTGTCCCACTGGAGCTGGTGATTGGGCCATAAGCAACGAAGCCACTTTTACCTTGACCCTTCTCCGCTTCCTCCCCTTCTCTTCCCCCGGTGCCTGTTTCTCTCCTTTCTTCCTCTTTTTCCGTTTTCTGTCCTTGTGTTTGTCATGGTCGCTTCTATCTTCGAAGAGGCTAGAGTCGTGCCCGGAGCTGCCCGTGGAGAGCTCAGTCACTTCGCTGCCACCCACTTTGAGGACCAGCTTCAGGGGCTTCTCCACGTACTCTGAAACAACAGCAGGGCGCGGGCTGACCGGGGGCAGACCGAGGGCGGGCGCCCCACCTCCCAGCGCCCCACGAACACCCGCCGGGGCCGGCAGAACCCCCGGAAGCTGGTCCTCAAAGTGGGTGGCAGCGAAGTGACTGAGCTCTCCA